CGCCACAGAGCAATCTCACCTTTCGGAACTATTAGTTTGGTATGACTATGCATTTCTGGTTCACAAACCTGTGGTTTGTACAGTCAGGGAATTCTTGTCGTAAACAGGCTTGCCTGTTCCAGTCTGCCTAAAATTGAAGTAAGAAACGCTTTCTCTCTAAGTTGGTGCTAGCGACACGCCGGTGCATACTCGGTACGTTTTGGTTTTTTTTATGGAAAAGGAGGAAAACTAGCAGGGGGACCACCAAATGGAAAGTGTTTACCGTCGCCCCGGTGGACATTCTTAACACCAGAAATTCCAAATTTCCCAAGTGTTTTCGCGATATTGCCCTTATACATTATACTCCTTTATCGAGTATATTATACCTTGTATATTAAACTCGTAAGCTGTCCATACGCCTACGCGAATGTAATTCATAAGAAATTCCAGAAATAAACAGGATTGATGAGAGTAAAAACACAGTTCTATTCCAGTAATTTACATTCAAATTGAATGCATGTGTTAATGTTTATATAATATTATAAACAATAATGTAAATATAAAGCAATTACTTACAATCCAAATGGCATTTTCTTGCAGTATTCAACTTTTGGCTCTAATCGTGCTCTTCTTCATGACATTGGTGTAGGAATTTGCCCGTGAAGATATGTCATTGTAATCTTTATAGCTTATTGTATAAATTATCCATGTCTTCCACCACTTGAAAAATATATCTTGCTATAGAAAATGAAAACTTCAAATAAAATTAGAAAGACAAAACACTTAATTACACAATACTATTATTTTTCGTTGTTTCTTCATCTGTATAATATATTAATATTTGTAAAGTAATAATTTTAACTAACAATTACCGCCTAGGGAAATAACTCTAAAGTCATTAATCTAAACGGATAAATTATTTCTAAGAATGTTATTTTATTTTGTAAATATAGTAGGTTTTATATACTTTGGCCTTTGCATATTGTTGTATTCCTCGGGTCAAAAATATATTCATTGTATTTCAAATCTTTTATCGCTCAGCTCCATCATAGCTGCTGGTGTACACGAATCTATCCAAGTTTCTATAGACGGGAACATTTTGTTGTACAAATAAGAAATGTATTAAAGTACAGGACTAACTGTATTGGTTGAAACATACGTAAATATTATTCAATCTTTTTAAACAACCTTCATTTATACAACACAAATGATCGCATGACCTGCACATAGGTCAGTGACCACGAATTTCATATAAAGAGTTATTCAATAAGGATAGTCCATTTTCAGTTAACAGATTACATTAATTTCTTGTATTTACGCGATTACAATTATAAATGAAACTAATTTTACGGATTTAAAATTAAAAATAAACGCGATAAATACGTAAAATTAGTTTCATTTATAAGATTACATTAAATTAAATTAAATTAAATTAAATTGTGGTAGATCCAATTGTTTGCTTTGTGATCAATCCAATTGCTAAACAGTGTTGTTCTTATAGTGCGGTCACTCCATACAACCAACTACATCTTGGTCTTCATTAAAACAGCCCCAATTTAAATTCAGTATATTTCAAAATGTTAAGTTAAGGGCAACGAGATGTTTTGGCAGCATTATTCAATTACTTGCGAAATTTTAAACAGAGTCATGCATCAGTTTAAGTTCAGAAGTCAAAAATATAACATATTTTTGATCGCGTTCACACAAAAATTTCAGAATAAATTATATTAACCTATAACCTTTCCACGGTTCAATAAGTTTTCGCGCATATCGCTGACGACAGGGAATTATTTCCACTTCGGGTATTTAACGTTTCCAACCTGTTGGAGTTGGGACGGGTAATGTCAGTAGGAGGATGAAGTCGATTAAAGTTATAACTCCTGATAACAGGCATAGCACCCCTATTATTAAATACGTCTTGTCCAATGGCCTTGTAGGTGTACCATGTTGGTCTTGAGTCGTGTTCTCCGACGATCGCCTGCGACACCATTTTTTAAATTCTATCGCAATCTACAAGAAGATTTTTTGTTCAGAGAAAATCTATTTTACCGTGAAATCTTTAAAACATCAGCTACAGTTATTGGTTAAAGGTCAAGGCATGCAATTGATACATTTATAATTCCACTATTCTTAAAAGTATATTCTTAATAACATAGCCGTGCGAACACAAAATAAGGTAACTCTATCCCGGTAATTTAAGATCTAAATATGGTTTACGAATCTTTTTAATTGACAATCGGACAAATTTCCAAACCAGGAATAGTAACAGCAAACTCATTTCGCTAATACTTTGATTATGGCAAAGTTCTTGTATATCTTTGGTATATCTGTTTTGGCAGTAATGTTAAAAACTAAGAGAGAACATAGTTTAGGCACAAAAAGGATCAAATGAAATTTTAATACACATAAATGGATAGTACCAACCAATATCACTCCCGTAACTATGGGCAGTATGAGGCTTGCGAACAGGAAGTATCCTTGTACGAATATGGGCAAATGGTCATCAACTTCCCCCGAAATAATGAGAGCTATGGATATCACAATTTGGGTCCAAATAGCACCCGCTATCATAGTCTGTTCGTCGTTGTATTTAGATCTAGAGTTTACTGGGGCGCTAGTCCAGAAAACAGATGCCAATATTACAGCGCCAAGGCTGAAGAATTTTAAAATTACACTAAATTCCATTTGCCACGATTTTATTTTAACGATTTCTTCGGATTACAAACAGTAAAAGTCAAAATTGTTGATATGGCACAATGATAATGATATGGTACAATACAAATCGTACATCGACCGTGGTTGTAAGTCATTTTGTTACATATTTGTTGAAAAATAATCCACTCTTGTCCTTGTCCCTAAAATAGATCTATAAACTGACATTGACAGAATGTCAATTTGTAGATCTATTTTAGGATACTGCGTTCTTTAAATGATGACTACAATCATGGGCAATAATAAAAGAGGTTATTTATTACATACGTATCGTAATCATGTTAAAATGAAAAGGTAAAATAATATAATGCTCGTATGCCCATACTAATAGTATGAGCATCTCATTTAAAAATTTAAGGAATTTATACTGAATATTTGGGGTTTATATACAGTATAATCTTTACTGAAGTATTGTAGTGAAGGGCGTTGGAATAAAACGTTAGTCTTTCAAGAATTTTGTGTATGTACATTGTTAGGATAAATCAGAACCTTTCGGCATAAACACCGGTATAGACAATAATCCTTACTAATATTATAAAGACGAAAGTTTGTATGTATGGATGTTTGTTACTCTTTCACGCAAATAATACTGAATGGATTTTAATATATATTATAATTTATATATATAAAGAATATGTATATAAATTATAGCCTATCTGTCTAAATGTTACGCCGTCAGTCTATCTCTATTCTACGTAGTCGCGGGCAGTAACTAGTATAGTATAATAGAGATGATGCGTATCCATACTGCGTGACGTTTAAAAATTGTTCTGCTTTTCATTATATGACATACATTGAACCACCAATTTCCACCAATCCGCAATGGGGCCGCGTGATGGACTATGCCCTGATACCCTCTGCAAAAAGGAGGCCTTTGCCTAGCTGTGGGACATGTATAGGCTGGGACCTAAATTTTTTTTATAGAAGCAACCGTATTTGTAGAACAAATAAATTATTTGGTTTTATTGGACGGTTGTAAAAATAATTTAACAGTAGAAAAAAAATCAGGTCTTCATACGAACACATATAAATTAAATGATTTACATGATTACGAAAAAGCAGTCCCAATCATTGGCCCGTAATTTTTGTTGACCGGAATAACAGTTTCAAATTGAAAGCAATTTATATAATACCCATTATATTAAAACTGTATCAGATTGATCAGATCTTTAAACTAATGTACTTTGTCAAAATGTGCGGCAATTCTTTATTTCATTTAGTTTTACTATGCAAACGATGTACAAACTGTATATTGTATACGGACTTTTCTGTGTTTTGCACACTTCTACCAATAGTGATACCAACTATGTAAGTTCTCTCCAACCAAATATGTAAGCCAACTATGTAAGTTACTCCATTATCACATATTTATTCAACAGGGTAGGTTTACTTTAAAAGTTACAAACTTGGAAACTTGCAAAGGTCCAAAACGCAAAGATTGTTGCATAATCACAGCAAGGATGGAAAATGGTGTAAATCTGCTCTATAATATAACAATCAAAGAAAACGTTGTTCCTAATAGGGTGAGGAGACATTTCAGTTTTAACTATATTGTTATTGACGTTTTTGTAATCCAAATTAGAAAACAGAAAATAATATAAAAAAACTTCATTGCTTCAAATTTGAATAAAATTATCTAATACAGGGTAAAATAGAGGCAACTGCAAACGGAAAACCTCTGATAAGGCTCCAAATGAAGAAACCATGCGACCATCTGTTCCTGGGACCTTTATTCCAGTCAATACTTAATGTTACCGATGACTGTGTTTTCGTAAAGGTATTTTGATTTATACCAATATTTTATTTGACCAATAACTTTAATATTCTTAAATTAATCAATGAATACTTTCTTTAATTTCAAACTTTTACTACTTTCAAAGTGTTGATGTCAACAGGGTCATTACTTCTTCAACATGGATGTAGAAAATGTGGCGCAAAAGTATTATGGCGGTATGTTTTTATACGGAAACCTTACATTCAAATCGGTTTTCTATAGCGATAATTGTAATTTCTCCTGCACTATAGTTACAGTCCTGGTGACACCGAAGAACGAAACGCAGAGCAACAAAGATAGAGAAAAACTAATAACTGTTTAATATTTGGAGTATCAATAATTGTTATATTTTAACATTAATTATTGTAAACAATACCAATCTCTATTCAATAAAACTATAAAATAACAACATAAATAATTTAATAATAATAATGTAAACTAACCAATATAATTTTCTAACATAACATTATTTTCACATTTGTACTTTAGAAATTGAAAGCTAATCAATTACCCTAATAAATTAGAATTAGTTTCAATCGAAGGGGCAGTCTTCTTCTTGATCAACAGTTGCGCAAAACATGCCTCGTGAGCTGTAACAGAAGGCAGTATTATGTACAATTACTATTTAACGATGTAATTAAATTTAATTCTTTAGTTCGGAACGTATTTAAATCTTAAAAAAACCATTCTAATACTGTAAACCTAATGAATACACAAAATATTTATATTCATTTATTAATTATGATTATTTAACACAAACGGCGAAACATTCTAACCTATAACTTAACTGTGGCCAAGCAAAAGGCTTCGCTATTGCACGAATGAGCGGATCCGTCCAGGTAAGTACCACGACCTCACAGAAGACCGGCGTAAAGTGGAAGTGTTACACTTCCGCATTTCGTCTGGTGAGTGAGGTAGCCGGGTCCACTTTATTAAAAGGTGGCAAAGTATACTTGCAACCCTGCGACTGTTGCAAATGTCAATACGCGGTGGTTATCGCTTAACATTAGGTATTCTACCTCGTTTGCCACATAAAAAAAAGCCTAAAGAAAATCTAATTTCATTCATAGATATAATTTTTATCTTCTCCTTCGAGACTTTCTCCAATAATGTCTGCAATTAAAAAAAAGAAAATCTTGCCGCCTTACACCGGGAACAAATGCGATAAATGTAAAACTCGTGCCATTGCAATTTACATAGCTTGCAATACATCAATATTGAAACACTTTGAACAGCACTAAGCTAAATTTGTTACATTGAGAGGTACCTAAACCTTAGGTCTATAGGAAACATTTTTGCGGCTAGTGACATGAAAAATGTTAACGATGTAATATCTGAATCGCGATATAAGTTCTAAAGGTACAAATGCCGGTTGCCTTTTACAAATACATTTCGAATTTGCTAAGTATAATACTTACACAAACTACAAGCTATGGAAAACGATGAATAACTGATTGGTACGATGATTAAATGATGACTTGTCATGTTTACCTTCATCATCATCATTTCAGCCTGTTTGAGTCCACTGCTGAACATAGGCCTCCCCCACAGACTGCCATGAAGCACGATCCTGAGCCACCTGCATCCATCGACTTCCCGCACATTTGCACAGGTCGTCACTCCATCTAGTGGGGGGGTCGTCCTACACTGCGATGGCCAGTACGAGGCTGCCACTCGAGAACCTTTCTTCCCCAACGGTTATCGGTTCTACGAGCTATATGGCCGGCCCATCGCCACTTCAGCTTGCTAATCCTCTGAGCTATGTCGGTTATCTTAGTTCTACTGCGGATGTCTTCGTTACGAACTCTATCACGCAGAGAAATACCGAGCATAGCCCGCTCCATAGCTCGCTGAGCGACTTTGAGCTTCCTCATACGGCCAGCAGTGAAGGACCACGTCTCGGTTCCGTAGGTCATCACTGGCAACAACACACATTGATTGAAGACTTTAGTCTTCAAACATTGAGGTATATTCGACGAGAATATTTGCCGAAGTTTCCCGAACGCTGCCCATCCGAGTTGGATTCGCCGATTGACCTCTGCGTCGAAGTTGGACTTACCTAGCCGGACTAACTGTCCTAGGTAAACGTACTCGTCAACAACTTCGAGCTCAGTGCTCCCAACAACAACCGGTATAGGCGTGACATGGACATTAGACATGATCTTCGTCTTGTCCATGTTCATCTTAAGGCCCACCCGTTGGGAGACACTGTTGAGGTCATTGAGCATAGCACTCAGGTCTTCCAGCGATTCTGCCATGATGACTATATCGTCGGCAAATCGAAGGTGGGTGATGTATTCGCCATTGATGTTAATACCTCGTCCTTTCCAGTCCAGAAGCTTGAAAACATCTTCCAACGCAGCGGTGAAGAGTTTCGGGGATATGACATCACCCTGTCTTACACCCTTCTGCAGTTGGATAGGTTTTGTACTACTGGACTGTACTTGGACGGACATCGTAGCCTTGTTATACAAACACTGCAGCACTTCGATATACCGACAGTCAATTTGGCACCGCTGAAGAGCCTGGAGTACCGCCCAAATTTCGACAGAATCGAAGGCTTTCTCATAGTCCACATACGCTAGGCACAAAGGCAAATTATACTCTTCGGTCTTCTGTATAATCTGCCGCAAGGTATGTATGTGGTCTATGGTACTGAAGCCTTTTCGGAATCCGGCTTGTTCGGGAGGCTGGAAGTCGTCGAGTCTGGAAGCGAGACGATTCAAGATGACTCTTGAGAACAGCACATAGACGCGGCTCAGAAGGGATATCGGTCTATAGTTCTTCAAGAGAGCGTTATCGCCTTTCTTGAAGAACAGCACCACCACACTTCTGCTCCACGCCTCTGGTGTAGCACCACCCTGAAGGACGGAATTAAAGAGCCTCTGAAGGACCACAAGTACCGGTTCTCCACCCGCTTTCAGAAGCTCTGCTGTAATTCCATCCTCTCCCGATGCCTTGCCATTCTTAAGATGGTCAAGAGCCATTCTAATCTCGCTCAGACTGACGTCCGGGATATTCTCGGAATAGTGTCGGATAAGCTTTGCTCTTGGGTCGTTACTCACACATGTGTGTGTGGCTCCAACGACGATGTGTACAGCTGTCCATAGAACCTCTCAATCTCACTCGAAACCTCTGGTCTACTGGAGATGATAGCTCCGCTGTCAGTCTTCAACTTAGTCAGTTGGCTTTGTCCGATAGCCAGATCTCTGGCGAAGACTTTTGAGCCTAGGTTCCGCTCTATAGCTCCCTCAATACGGGCTGTATTGAAGTTGCGTAAGTCTCGCCGCATGTATTTGGAGATCTGCCTATTAAGCCGCCTGTAGTCTGACATGTTAGTTAAAGACTGCAGCCGCATCTCACGTCTTTTTCCCAAGAGGTTAAGAGTGTGATCGGAGAGTTTTTGTGTTCTATTTGTCCGACGGGCCTTATAAAATTTAAGGCCCACGGCATGGACAGTTTCCACGAGCTTAGCGTTAATATCGTCCACCGTGCTGCAATTTTCTAGGCATTGGAAGCGATTATGTAGCTCGAGCTGAAAGCTTTCGGGGTTCTGGATATGGGCACGAGATGGTCGGAGTGTGGACTTCATTAGACGAGATCTTTCCAGCCTGATGTTAATATTCAATGTGCCTCTCACCAATCGGTGATCACTGCCGGTCTTCACCCTTGTGATCACAGAGACATCATTGAATATTTGCCGTTTGTTCGTCATAATGAAGTCTATCTCGTTTTTTACAGAACCATCGGGGCTAGTCCAGGTCCACTTTCTGTGGGGCTGCTTTTTGAAGAAGGAGTTCATCATAAAGAGTCCCTCCTTCTCCATAAAGTCAGCCAGCTGCTGCCCCCTTGGGTTCCGTTGCCCTATTCCAAAACTACCTACTCTCAGCTCATCGTCTTTCCTTTTGCCTAGTTTTGCGTTGAAGTCTCCCATTAACACCATGTACTGAGTTTTGGAGGAATGTATGGCTCGTGATATATCCTCATACATTGCCTCCACCTCATCATCGGGATGTGTCGACGTTGGTGCGTAAACCTGTATGACCTTCAGCGAATACCGTTTGGATATTCTGAGTATAAGGTACGCAACCCTCGACGACACACCCTCGATTTTAACAACGTTGTTAATGAGAGACTTGTGGACGATAAATCCGACACCTCCTTGGGACAGTTGGTCGCCCTCCCGGTGGTAAAACAGGTTGCCGGATTCGAGGATTATCGTGTCCTCCCCCTGTCTTCGGACTTCAGATAATCCTATTATATCCCAGCGCAGCCTGTTCACCTCTTCTTCCAGCTCTGTAATCTTCTCTTCAGTCCTCAATGTTCTTGCGTTGTATGTTGCCAGGTCCAGTCGCCGTCGTTGGTAGCCGAATCCTAGCCGGGGATTCTTAGCACCCCCTGCCCTGCCGTTACCATGACCGCTACCGTAGCCAGGAATAGCAGGGCCGCCGGGGACTGGGGGCCGTACATTTAGGACTTCTATCATGGGTTGTGCCATAGTTGCCACGCCTGGCAAGCGGGTTGGCAACCGCAGTTCCTCCAGACTCCTCGCACCTATAACGCTGCTGCCCGTTATTGGCCTGGTTATTTAGGGTCTGGAGAGTCGAGATGGTTATCCCGCCATCTATCGGTGGCCACAAGATGTTTGTGGCTTGTCCCTTAGTCGCCTCTTACGACACCCATGGGATGAGATGGGGTGGCTTATTCTTACGCCGGCACCACACGGCAAGTCGTTTACCTTAAAAATTGAATATAATTATTATTTAACAACACTGTTTTATCTATCGTGATAAAACTTACATAAGCAAACATTTATATAACCCTATATGTGCCTCTAATGGGCGTCCGCAACACCGATGGTTAACAAAAAATACAAATACAAAAATATTTTCGAAATAGATAATAAATAGGTTCTTAATCATTCACAAGGCTTCTTATTCGGTCTTCTAGAAGGCCGACCTACCCGGTCATGAGCTTGGCCCTTCATTCAACATCAGAAACCGATACGTAGATTCAAGTAAAACTCTGAAATTATCATATAATTTTCCACCTTCTGCTAAAAGAGCCATATACTTACTTATCGGGTATTTCATCGCCAAGCAGCACAGACTTTCGGTCATGTCTGATACCCCAACGACCTTGCTTGGGGCATGTGCTCTCGCATGGCACGGCAACGATATGTAATCGCTTTCTCACACTTGCAGCGAAGTAACAGGAGCTCATAAAGTGACTGCAACGTGCGATACCTGTGGACCATAAATTATCCATACTAATAATATAAATGCGAAAGTAACTCTATCTGTCTATCTCGCTTTCACGCCAAAACTACTGAACCAATTTAAATGAACTTTGGTACACAGGTAGTCCAGAGCCTAAGAAAGGACATAGGTTATTTTTTAATTGCAAAGTGTTGTAAAGTATTGAACATATCTTTCTTTAAAAACTATATACATATTTTTAGATATTTATTTAAGGAATACAACGCGAGCGAAGCCGCGGGCGAAAAGCTAGTTGTTGATAATTACTTTTACTAGACACCAGTGGCTACACGGCTACGGTCTTAATATTGCAATTTCGTTTTATACACATTTTGTCACTTGGTTGAACCTAACCTTCTTATAATGGCACTGCACGGAAGATTGCTGTTTTAGCATTGATTGGTTCGTCCTTTGTTATCAATATTTAAATTCATTGCAATAAAAAATAAATAAATAAATCTGGAATTCAGTTAACCCAATATTTAATATGTATTTGGTCAATGTTTGACCATTCTTCCACAAAACCTGTTTTAAAAAATGATTGCTAAATGATGCTCGACTAAGCTGGAGCTTGTAAAAGTTTTCTTACACATCTCCCAAGCTCATCAAACACATATTCTATGTGATTTAAGTCTGCGAGATACCCACTACGTTCAGGTAATATCGTCATCTTGAATATATGCGTTGACCAAATAACCAAAGTTGGATCGCTCATTATATTGCATAAAAATACAATTTGCGCGCATATTAACTAAGAAAGGACCAACATGCTCATTTAAAATCTCGACGTGTCACTTTTTTAGTAGTTCTTACCCGACTTCTAGCCGTGATAGTTCAGTGAGCCGTGATAGCTCAGTTAATTCATTATACTCGAGCAACCTGAGTTCGATCCCTGGTGCCGGCACCGATGAAATTGTTAATTTCAAGTTCTGAATTATCACATGCTCAGCGGTGAAGGAAAACATCGTGAGGAAACCTGCATATTTTAGAAATAATAATTAAAAAAAATGTTTTGAAGATATGTGAAGTCCGCCAATCCGGGCGGATTGGTTTAATTTAAAATAATAATTGGGTTAATTGGTGTATATTATTTAAGGTTATAACGTCATGATGCTAGACTGTCTTGGTGTGATATATATATCACAGCAACTCATCTCGTGATCTTTTTATGTGACCCGTTATTTTTGCGGGCAGTGTATTTTTGGGCAATCAAGTGTTATGAACATCAGCAGAGGTCAACGTATTTATCATAACCTAAACAATTCTTTATCTATATAAATAATCTTACTATACCTGAATTTAACCTTAAAATGTGATAATTCTAATTTCTTTCGTTGTTAAATGACACAAAATGATGTTTTTCACATCGCTACACAATAGAGCGATAACAATAAGAGTAAAACACTTTAACTCACATGTTGTATATAATCAACAGATGATATTGAAATAGTTCAGAGTATTTGTTACCCAATAGACATTATCTTTCGGAGAGATTCGCGGCAAGTATTTGACCTCATGACGTGACTCTCGAAACAAGTGAACTGCATGTACATTGCGAATTAATATAATCTTTATTGGAATATGTGTTCTTTTTAAATCCCAGTGAATAAACATATATTTTTTTTTATTGAAGAAGACATGGCAAGCGAGATGGCGGTTCACCTGATGTTAAGTGATAACCGCCGCCCAAGGACATTTACAACGCCCCTAGAGTTACAAATGCGTTGCCAACTTTTAAAGAAAGTGGGCCCGGTGAGCTCACTCAACATACAGCACAAAAAATATTCATTAACAGATGGATAGGACGAAAAGTTTTTGCACTTGTGGGAGTCGAACCCACGTTTTAGGATTCGCGGCCAGATTCTTTAACCACTAAGCTATACGGCTGCTACACCGACGATTACACCGATTATTTACATTGTTTATGTTATCCTTTTATTGTTATGTAGCACACAAAAAATTTCAAATATCGTTTTACAACGATAATTCGAACGAGAGATGTTGCCATTGCTACATAAAAGTTAATTTTTTATTGTGCTAATCTCTGCACTTAAGATGAAACAATTGAACAATTTGAAGAAAAAATGGACGAAAATATTTTCCCCGCTGTGGCAATCGAATCAATTGTTTTCTACAAATTTTAATTAAATAGTTGTTCAAAACACTGTTACAATTGATGGCGAGCATCACCTGTTTTTAAACAGAACAATGATCTTAATTTCTATTCCATTGTCACATAAACCGCATCACGCATTAAATTGAACGTTATTGGTCCAATTTAAGATTGTTAGACGTCTCCTCAATTTGAAAATAATGGCAGTGTAACTGGTATTATCTTCTAGTTCCTTTTTCAAATATTCTGCAATTTCCCTTTTATATCTCCCCGTGAGATGAAACAAGATATAGAAGTATACAAAATATTGAGTTCAGGGTGTAAATATTATGTGAATAGAAAAAAATATGTGTATTCTTATGTACGCACGTAAGAAAATATACTATAGCGTAATAAAATATGAATAATTAAAAATTGTATCCCCTGCACCAGTATTTTTGTTTGTGTAAAAGACATTAAATGCAATTGATAACGGTTTAAGTGAATCATTTTGAATTTTAGATAAATGTCACAAAATGGTTAATTATTTGGCATGGTAATATACCATGAAGATGGTTGAAGTTGGTCGGTCTCTAACCAACTTCATCATGTCGCTTTTTGGCTGTCGGTGTACCCACGCATCATAAAATTTTTATGCTAATTTACTCTCATAATTTCTTCCAAATGCGCCAGAACATGTATAACTTTTTTCGGATTTTCGTACATTAAATTTTTTTATTTTAATTTTAATATATTTAAAATTATCTCACATATTTTTTATTTATGAATCTTTAAATAATGTCTTCGGACTATGAATATGTGCTAGATACAGCGAAAACAGGCCTTAGCGAACCAAAAAACGCAGATGCTACAGGTACCCTGGTGGTATATTTATTACTCACGCATTAAATGCCCTTTGCAACCTGGTTGTCTCTTCCCGCCGTTGATGCAGAAGTCAGCGTGGCCAACAGCTCCACTCTCGCCCAGAAATCCAGCGTTCGTGTGCAGCACTTGAACCACGTGAGCGTCTTCCCGGCCTAGACGGAAACGTCGTGACCCGTACTCGCTAACAAGCGGGCGAGCAGGGTCGAGGCCTGGAACGAAGATAATGAACGAAATAATTTTAACATCACACCATTTGATGGTACGTTAGGAACTTCGCAGGAACTAGAAAACTCAATGCACCAGAGTTGCTGCATATTGCCGGCTATTGCCAACTACTGAGAGATATAATGCCCTACGTTGGTATCTTGGGACTTAACGAGCAACCTAATGTGGTAGCAATTTGTTTTCCCTTTTATAGTTCCATAGTTCTGATATTGTTAGTTATTAACCAACGGTCGATAATATTAACATGACAATGCAAACGATAAAGTGGTTAAACAGAACTATTTTACGAATGTTATCGAATATGTTTTTAAACTACCAACGTTTATATAGCATATTTTTATTATATTCTATTATATTTGTTAGGAAAACATAGAACGCTTATATAAAATAAATTGTACAATTACACACAGACATGTGGGCAAATGGAGTTTTCAGAAGATAATATACACTTTGTATCTGAAGTATACAATTATAACTCATTTTGTTTATTTTCGTGTTGTTATTATTCCGTCACTGATTTATAAAAGTGCAATGTTAAAGATGAAAAAAACATACAATTCGAAAAAATAAAACCTAAATGTTTAAAACAATAACACTGAAAGATTATGTATTTATTTCCATTTTGATTGCGATTCAACATTATTCTAAACTATCACGAAAATGTCAATATGATAAAAGTTTGTATTATAATTACGACAAATCCTTGCGGTAAAACGGTTTTTGGAGTATTTTGTCTTATACAACGACATAAAATACGAAGAACTGTTAAATGATTGATAACGGATGCTAAAAAGTAAGAAAATTCTAATCATGTTTTGGTGGTGGAACTAGCCATGAATGTTGAAAAATGTAAGAACAATTTCTATTTTCGTCAGTAGTTTTATTTAATGTTTTTATTTTAGGATTAGTTTTTACTTTTAGTGCTAGTCCCTACACTTTTAAATTGTGAATTTTTGTATATTATTAAACAAAAACTTTAAGTATTGCAGGATTCGAACCTGATCGTGCAGCAGGATAGCATTATACGGCCAGATCAGTAACCTCACTAATATATGGAAACAATCTCCTTGTCACCGCTCCGCTATTGATAGATACAGGAATACATGATCCTATTGATTCCTATGTCCTCTAGTATGCACAGGTCAACAGGTCTTCGAGGTAATGGCTGCCGATCTCGTTACGGACATACACACAAAGGTCGGTGCACTCCTAAAAATCTTGGATGCAATTTCTGCCGCGTCTGAATTATATAAATTGAATATTTAAGAAAACGCACCTACGTTTTGTCAATCACTAGAAAGTATTAGAACTCGATAGATATTAAGTCTCGAATATTTGATAAATGCACTTCAAGGAGAAGAAGCTTTCTCTGGGTTTTTTTTTTAATTTTTTTTTTTGGTTTTCAGTGAATGAAGCATGGCAGTATATCGAGGCCTTTCAATGTTACCTGACAGAATGTCGAGAAACAACGCCTTAACAGACGTGAACAGGAAACTGCAGGGAGGCCCCAATTAGCAAATCTTGTTTATTTTGTAACTTGTAAAGTACCCTAGAGTTTCTGAAAATTTGCGAGGTCCTTGTTATGCTCCTAGCAAACATAACACTTTTCAATTGTAACTTTTACCCTATTGATTTTACCTATGTCTATTTAATTAGCGTTAAACGCGAGCTTTTCATTTATAGCTGGTTTGTTAAAAATGAGTGAAATTTGTACTGCCCGTTCTGAAAATTCGAGACAGCTCCTACAGTAACAACAAATATATGCTTATCATAAGTCTCCGGTGCCATAAATAGGACAGTAACGTAACCTTACTCTTTAGTCGTTAGCTGCGAACCCGTCAAGGCACCGGACGAGAACACCGCAAAGCAGTGCGTGAGAACCTTCCAAACAGTGTATACGCGTGGACATTCAGAAGTTAAAATGGCGAAAGTAGACATCAAATACACAAAGGTACGCATACAAATAATATTGAAGAAAAGATGATACATGTGTAATAATCATTTGATTATTAAGTTATTTTTATCATTTTAATAAATTTTAAAGCATTAATTAATAAAAAAAATAATACATTCTTATTGGATATCTATCGGGGTAAAACGCGGAATAATATTTTATTTAGTTAGAAAATTACTTGGTAAATTAACTCAAACTTTTATATTAATTATATGTTACTTATATAAAACAACACATGACTAGACAGGTGATATTAATATATCAGAAGCAGTTCGATTTCTGTACAGAGTACATATGAGTAAGAGCCTACTTAAAGTAGCTGACAGTACAACATAAACATGAGGAAGTAGAGACGTGCAGGTGTTGAGCATATACAACCACTTAATAACATTTTTATATTAAGATTAATAGAGCCCAATATAAGTCTCAAATTGTTATTATTTGTTCGACTTTAACCGCATTTCATTTATTATATTAATTGTTATTGTGTTAAAATACTTTATGAAACGTAACGCTAATAGCTCAATCGTGTACCAAGTATTCCTACTGTGACAACGGCTGCAATAGGAATGAAAATTGTATTAAAATAAGTGAATGCTATAGCAAAGAGACAATTACTATTCCAATTAATATTCAACTCGTCCGTCATTGTACAAAATGTCCGACGCCTTTAGCGTTTTTGGCTGTTTTTAGTATTAATCATATCTCACCAATTTCCCTGTTAACGGATGATTTGAACACTTTTTACCCGCAGTATAAATATAATAATAATAACTATCTGTATGTTTATTTTTTATTTATAAACCCAACCAGACGAGAAAACAAATGAATATCCCACCATAATAATAATATACTTTATTGTACACCAAAAAATCAAAATGAAAAAGTACAAAAAACAAAATATTTAACAAAATATTGGTCATCAAAAGGCGGCCTTATTGCTACATGGCAATAAATATTTTTTTTACAAAACAATCCTAAATTTCGGACAGAAAATAAGTTTTAACAAAGTCTAAGTTTGTTTTCTTTTTTGGGATAAAATGAATAAATTAAAATTGTCACTACTATATTCTACGTGTGGACAAAAAGGTTTATTAGCGTCATCAAGGCTGAAGTAGGTTATTGTCAATTCTTTCTAACGGGCTATTAATACCAGGGCATTGAGGATGTAAGCATCAATTGTGTACAACCCAATGATTTGCTGTACTTCAACCACAATCAACCATTCAACGTGGTATTTTGAGTAGATAACATAAACATGAATGTAATCATGCCTACATTCACATGTTATCACGAATTATATATGGTTTGTAGGGGTTCAGTATATATATCTTGTATATTTAACACGGCCTCCATTACATAACAATTCACACTGTGTTACTTATTGTTGATAAACATATTAAAACTATTACGATTATTAAATGGCAGATGAATTTTTATCTTTTTGACGGATGATTGCTACTGCACATGAGAATGACTTCGTTCGACACGCGGAATGCTGCTGTTAGCTTCTTCATTATCGCGTGTACAGTACAACGTCTGTCAGGTCCGTTAGTATGTTATAAAATTTAAATTATAATATTTATTTCGCTTCCATCAGTTGTTTATCAACAATGAATGGGTCGACGCTGTAAGCAAGAAAACCTTCCCCACCATCAACCCGCAGGATGAGAGCGTCATCATCCAAGTAGCCGAAGGTGACAAGGTAAAGACTACCTCTAGTGATAATAGGTAGATGTAATTTAACAGTAGTAGTTAAAAAAAACTGTTTTCTTATAGGCTGACGTAGATTTAGCAGTGGAAGCTGCGAACAAAGCATTCCACCGTTACTCAGAATGGCGTACCATGGATGCCTCCCAAAGAGGACGTCTCCTTTGGAAACTGGCGGACATGCTAGACAGGGACTACAAATATTTGGCAGAGTTAGAGACATTGGATTGCGGCAAACCAGTGAAACAGGCCGAAGGAGAAGTGACATGGTCGGCTAACATTACCAGATACTACGCAGGGAAAGCCGACAAGATTTTAGGAAACACTATTCCTGCTGGTATAGCCTATGAATTACATTTCAAGACTTCCATAATAATATTTTAATTTTTAAAGAGATAATACATATTACTTATATTTTTAAGCAGCTCAAGCCAATAATTTAAAATTATTATTTTCAGATGGCGAGGTTCTCTCTTTCACAATGAAGGAACCCGTAGGCGTGTGCGGTCAAATTTTGCCATGGAACTATCCCATTCCCATGTTCATATGGAAGATTGCTCCCGCTTTAGCAGCAGGTAAAGATTACTCATAGGCGTTTTTGTTTACTTATGACAATAACAAAAATAGTGCTAGTTTCATTTTCTTCTTAAGATTTTTATTTTCTGTGGAACCAGGAATTTTTCCCCTTTTAAAACTGTTTATTTTTTTGTAATTGTAGGCTGTACTGTAGTTGTGAAGCCAGCAGAACAAACACCTCTGACTGCACTAGCCATAGCAGCTTTGATTAAAGAAGCAGGCTTCCCACCCGGTGTAGTGAACGTGATCCCTGGCTATGGAGAAACCGCTGGGGCTGCATTGACTCATCACCCTCGCGTAGACAAAGTTGCTTTCACTGGATCAACTGAGGTATGTTTTTAATATTTAATAATCCACAAGATAGTATCCTTATAAAACATATTAATAAATTTGAATAAAATTCTGTAAAGTGTTAAATTGTACGGAATGTGATTGTTAATTATCGTATTATGTAAAATAATATTAATGGGCCCCAAGCAGTTGTCCAAACATGAAGATAAAGAGAATTGTAGTCGTCTATACACAGCCACATTTACGATAATGACAATGATACTTGTATTAAATTTTTCGATAACACTTTAACATGGTAGTAATAATCAAATTGATAAATTTATCGCATTGTGAAAACACACGTGCAAAAATATTTAAGAGTTGTTTTTTGTTTATTTCATATTCTTTATCTGAAAGATATGAAATAATACGAGATAAGAAACTTAAATTAAATAAAGAAAATAGATATATTAAAAGAAACTCAAAATGGAAAACTAATGAAATGTCTTATTTTCAGGTCGGCCGTATAATTATGAACAGCGCTGCCGTTACGAACATAAAACGCGTAACTCTTGAACTCGGTGGAAAGAGTCCCCTGGTTATTTTCAATGACGCTGACGGTTGGTTTAAATCTATTTTATTTCTGTTTTTGGTTTGTATAATTTGACTGGTTACGTGGGTATGGTTATACAGAAAAATTTATTATTTCTTCGATAATATTAAAATTAATCTTATTGCTTAATTGCAAAAGAAGCTAAAATATGGTTTTATGAAAATGTTTAACGGATTTTAAAGTGTTTAATTTTGATTTTAAATTCCACGGTAAAGACTATGATAATGATTATATATATAGACGGTATAACCTATGATATCTTCATATCCTAGACCACGAACACTGTGAAGTGTTCGAAACGGAAATTCAAAATCGGGAATTTAAAATCAAAATAAAACGCGATTACATCCGTAAAATAGATACATTTCGCGATGTAGTATTCGCGTAAGTGCAAGAAGCTAAACTAATGAAAAATTTGTTCAGTGGATGAAGCAGCAGAGATTGCCCACCGCGCAGCGTTTAGCAATGGTGGCCAATGTTGCGTCGCTGGTACGAGGACTTACGTACAGTCTGGCATCTACGATAAATTCATCGCTAAGGCGGCGGAAATAGCAAAGAAAAGGACTGTTGGAAATCCTTACACTAATGTGCAGCAGGGACCACAGGTTTCTTATTAATAATTTTATTACGTTACATATAGCTCATTAAAGTGACTAGTTCGCTTTGCGATTCTAGATCATTCTTCGGCACTAAGCAGTTGATTATGATCCATCACAAGAGATAGTGCAATATATGTTATTCATTTTCAACAATCAATTGACTTTGAATTCTTATAATCACGAAGCATAAGCTTTTGTTTTTATAATAACTTCATTGATACTTTAATGACTGTCATGACTGCAAGTATATATACTCTAGCATGTCTATAATTCTGACTTTTAGATCGACTCAGAAATGTTTAAAAAAGTGATGGGATACATCGAAGTTGGCAAGAAGTCCGGCGCTCGCTGCATCGCAGGTGGTAACCGCCAAGGCAATGTGGGCTACTACATTCAGCCCACAGTTTTCGCTGATGTGAAAGATGACATGAAAATCGCGAAGGAGGAGGTAAGTAAACATTAAACAACAAACAAGTAAACATCAAAACATTCAAGAAATAAGGGATTTTTTTTATGTTAATGAACTGGCTGTTCACCTGGTGTTAGGTGATAACCGCCACCCATTGACATTTGCAACTTTGCCCTTAAGATTGCAGATGCGTTGCCACCATTTAATTTAGTGAGCCTCGGCTAAAGCACTGTCCAGACGAAACGTAGAAATAGAACTCTTCCACTTCATGCTGGTCTTCTGTGAAGTCGTGGTACTTAGCCGGATGGACCTGCCCATTCGAGCAACAGCGAAATCTGTTGCGTGGAACTGTAATGGTACTGGTTCTTTATGAAAATCGATTACCTTTATTATTAGTCAAAATCAATAAAGATAACGTAGACTTGGGTACGACAGTGTAAGAGAGAGAGAGAGAGAGAGAGAGAGAGAGAGAGAGAGAGAGAGAGAGAGAGAGAACAAGACCGCAGATTCTTGCAAGTACTTCTCTGGACAGGTCTAAATTAGTGAACGTTCAATAAAAGGGTTCAATCAAAGGGTTAACACAAGCCTATATTGAATAAACAAATTTAGACTTTTACTTTGGATTTGATAGATTTTCGGACCAGTGCAGAGCATCCTGAAGTTTGATACTTTCGAAGAAATCGTTGACCGCGCTAACGACTCCAACTATGGACTGGGAGCTGGTGTTATCACAAAGGATTTGACTACAGCCATGTCCTTTGCTAAACATGTACGCGCTGGCTCAATGTGGTTAGTATTCTATATACAATTTAATATCTTTTTAAGTTACGGACTTTTGTAAGTAACGCGTTATATATATGTACATTACGGTGGTAGGGCCACGTAGCAGTCTCAACTGTTGCATGAATCGGCAGGCTCGTCCGGGTAAGTACCACGACCGCACAAAAGACCGGCGTCAAGTGGAAGTATAATACTTTCGCGTTTCGTCTGGTAAGTGACGTAGCCGGAGCCCAATTTTCAAAAGGTTGTCAACGCACCTGCAAACCTCGGGTGTAGCAGATGTCCATGGGCGGCAGTATTCACTTAACATCAGGTGAACCACCTGCTCGCTTGGCAACTTTTCACATAAAAAACGTACTCTTATAAAGACAGCATTATCAACCCGAAGCTTTACGTAATAAGTATAAACTTAAATCTTCACTGTCATAATGGTAGTTTGAACAAGAACTCAAAACATTTACATGAACAACTCTTTTACGAAATGTATCTACATTGGCATTATTAACAAATAGTCCGTCATTATTTTGACAAAAGTAACATGTCCTTTTATGATTTTTATTTAAAGGATCAACACCTACGAACACGTAGCACCCCAAACTCCATTTGGCGGCTTCAGAGAGTCGGGCATTGGCCGTGAATTGTAAGTAAAATATTAATTTTCTTTAACTTTTAAAATAAATTTCATAAAACTTCATTTTAGCAATTCAAAAAGTTACGACTTTCATTTTAATTAATTGAATTATTACAGGGGTGAAGAAGGCATCTTACAATACTTGGAAAACAAGACGGTGACAATGAGCCTACCAAAGAAGCCTTTGCTTTAAGCACCACGAGAAAAACACCACCGACACAGATATGCATACGATTATCACAACAATAAAGATTTTGAATTAAAATTGTTGCTATTATTATTGAATTTTGTTACATCCCATTTAGAAATACAAAGTAATACTAAAATTGTTTAATGAGTTTTCATACAAAAGTACGAATCACATCACAGTTCGCAAATGAACGTAATAGGGTCATATTTTCTCTTAAATCCTTAGAGCCTTATATGAAGTATGAGCCTGAGGTATGAAGAACTTAATCCATACTAACATTATAAATCCGAAAGTAACTCCGTCTGTCTGTCTCGCTTTCACGCCAAAACTACTGAACCGATTTAAATGAAATTTGGTACACAGATAGTCTAGAGCCTGAGAAAGAGTAGGCTATATTTTAATTGGAAAAAGGGTCATAAAGTGTTTTTAAATGGAATCTCTTCAACGCGAGCGAAGACGCGGGCGAAAAGCTAGTGAGCAATAAAACTGGAAGAGCTAGTTAACAAGTGTCAATTGCATTGGAGATAACAGCAGTCCTATGCTGTCTGTGAAAAATCGCAAAATTAGTCCATTGCAAGATATTTCACATAAATAATTATGTATCTCGATCATCACGATGTTATTTGCTTGATGACTCTATTGTTCAAAGTGTGAAATAACATTCAAGTGTATAAATTGTATTGCTAGGAAATTAAAAAAAGCTCAAACAGAAAAGCTCGATGAAAAAAAATTACTGTTGCCGTATAGCATAACTGCCAGTCTTTTAAGAAATATTATGAAAACTAATGTCTTACTTTGTGTTCCGCTAATTGTGCCGGTGTGTGAATATTGAAAAGTGTCCCACTGAGAAAAAGTATAATTTAGTAGTACTAAGGTATTGTTTACTAGTCATCATGGCAGAATCGCTGGAGGACCTGGGTGCTATGCTCAATGACCTCAACAGTGTCTCCCAACGGGTGGGCCTTAAGATGAACATGGACAAGACGAAGATCATGTCTAATGTCCATGTCACGCCTATACCGGTTGTTGTTGGGAGCACTGAGCTCGAAGTTGTTGACGAGTTTACCTAGGACAGTTAGTCCGGCTAGGTAAGTCCAACTTCGACGCAGAGGTAAATCGGCGAATCTAACTCGGATGGGCAGCGTTCGGGAAACTTCGGCAAATCTTCTCGTCGAATATACCTCAATGTTTGAAGACTAAAGTCTTCAATCAATGTGTGTTGCCAGTGATGACCTACGGAACCGAGACGTGGTCCTTCACTGCTGGCCGTATGAGGAAGCTCAAAGTCGCTCAGCGAGCTATGGAGCGGGCTATGCTCGGTATTTCTCTGCGTGATAGAGTTCGTAACGAAGACATCCGCAGTAGAACCAAGGTAACCGACATAGCTCAGAGGATTAGCAAGCTGAAGTGGCGATGGGCCGGCCATATAGCTCGTAGAACCGATAATCGTTGGGGAAGAAAGGTTCTCGAGTGGCAGCCTCGTACTGGCCATCGCAGTGTAGGACGACCCCCACTAGATGGAGTGACGACCTGTGCAAATGTGCGGGAAGTCGATGGATGCAGGTCGCCGACGAAGGAGGTTTGTTCACCGAAGTAGTGAACAAAAAGAAGCGCAAGAAGCGCACCTCCCAGCCGTCTTCAACGGCCACGTCCCCCGTACCGCCAGTTAAGGCGCCAAGGCCGACCGAATCGGCCGTAGCCGGGCCCTCAGTGCCCACCCAACCAACAACATCGCCTTCAGCGATCCCAACCCCATCGCCTTCAGCGATCTCAACCCCGGTTGCTACTCAAGCAGCCCCCCCGCCCCCCCGCGCACCCCCCCCCCCCCCCCCCCCCCCCGTCACCAACATCATAGTCGAACCCCCTCACAAGGGATCTCTCCCTGGACAGTGCCACAAGTGCCAATTGTATGGACACGCGGCACGCAACTGCTTCGCCAAGCCCAGGTGCGTCAAGTGCCTAGGCGATCATGGCACTCCCGATTGTCCCAGACCAAGGGACAAAGCACTCCTCACCAATTTCGGCCCCCCCGCCTGCGTACTCTGCCAGACAGAAGGACACACGGCCAACTACCTAGGTTGCCCCAAAGCGCCAAAGCGCAAACCCTTTAAACCTGCCACTCAGGCAGTTAGAAGGCCGCCGGTTCCTACGGCTGCCTCTTTTCCTCCATTGCGCCCCGCGTGGCAGAACCCTATGGCCCCCGCATGGTTAACGTAGCCTTCTACAACGCGAACGGGTTAAAAGAACAGCGCGACGAAATACGTATTTTCTTACGCGACCACCAAATCGATATACTACTTATTCAGGAGACGCTCCTGAAAGCCGCGACAAGGGATCCGAACATCCCCAATTATCGAATAGTTAGGAACGATCGTGTCGGCGCCCCGGGCGGCGGCACACTTATTTACTATAAAAAATCTCTCCACTGCGTCGGTAGATACGCCCGCGCTCACGCATCTCGAGGCCTCCGTCTGTCAGCTGGCTTTAACCGGCCACTCTCCTATCACCATAGCATCAGTTTACCTCCCTTGTAGACCAACCGCATTAATATTGCAATCAGATTTTGAGGCCCTCTTCTCCATAGGAGGAGCCACCATCCTAGCTGGCGACTTCAACAGCAAGCACACCCGATGGAACTCGACACGTACCAACAGTCGAGGCACCGCACTCGACTCGCTATCCGACAGGCTCGACTTTGAAGTCGCTGCCCCCGTCGAACATACGCGCTTTCCATACGTAGAGGGACACACATCGGATGTGCTTGACATTGCACTCGTCAAAAACATCAGTCTCTCCTTATGCGAACCGGAAGTGATACACGAGCTTCACTCCGATCACCGACCAGTTCTCCTCCGGCTAGGGCCTTCAGCAACAGCCGCTCCCTTAACCAAAACCGTCATCAGCTGGCATAAAATCAGATCTAAATTTAACGAACCTAATCCTCCACAACTAGAGTCAATCCCTAGAGAATTAAATACCAAACAGGACACGGAAACCGCAATTCGAGCCCTCACAAGCCACGTCAACACCGTCGTCGAGCAATGCTCGAGACAGGTTCCAGCGATGGAAGACCATCGCTGGGCCCTGCCAGACGATGTGCGAGACTTGCTGAGACGCAAGAATGCGGCCACTCGAGCCTATGATAGATATCCCACCGACTCGAATCGTAGACTGCTACGTAAATTGCAGCGTGAGGTCAAAACACGCATAGCAGACTCACGAAACGAACGATGGGATTCCACCCTAGCTTCAGTAAAACCATCCCACGTAGCCTTCTGGAAACTTCCCAAATCCCTCAAGGGTAACGGCATAACAACCATGCCGCCACTAGTCCGTCCGATAGGCACACCAGCAATGCTGGACGAAGAGAAGGCCGAATGCCTGGCTGACAGACTAGAGTCTCAATGCTCCCCCAGTCTGCTTCCGATCGACCCCGAACACCTCCGCAAGGTGAACGAAGAGGTAGAAAGGAAAGCTCTAGAGCCACTCCGCGATCCCGTTCCCCCGGTCACGTGCCTAGAACTAGTAGAGACCATTAAAAAACTACGCCCCCGAAAAGCACCAGGCTCAGATGGAATCACCAATAAGGTGACCAAGCTCCTCCCTACTAGCATCCTTCAGATACTAGTATTAATTTACAACGCGGCCTTAACCGAAGGCTTCTTCCCATCAGAGTGGAAGGAAGCCGATGTCATAGGGTTCCTCAAACCCTCTAAACCCGCCACTCTCCCAACCTCATATCGTCCAATAAGTCTTCTCAAAACATTTGGGAAGATCTTTGAAAGACTAATATTAGCCCGCTTAAGATCCCTTATGGACACCAAAGGGCTCCCCATCCCAGAGCAGTTTGGATTCAGAACCAAACACTCATGTACCCACCAAGTGCACCGCATCACGGAGCACATATTAACCAAACGCCAACGTGGACTCAACACCGGTGCACTCTTCCTGGACGTGGCAAAAGCGTTCGACAAAGTCTGGCACAACGGGCTCGTATAAAAGCTATACGGGTACGGAGTGCCCGACCGTCTCGTATGCATAATACGAGACTTCCTAACGAACCGAACCTTTCGCTATCGCGTCGAGGGCGTGTGTTCGACTACGCATCCCGTTCGAGCCGGGGTGCCCCAAGGGTCGGTGTTGGGCCCAGTCTTGTTCATCCTCTACACCAATGACATGCCGCGTGTCAAAGATGTAGAACTTACTCTTTTTGCCGACGACACCTGTATCTATACCACAGGCAGAACACCCGAATTGATCCATCGACGCCTCCAAGCTGCGGCCATCACCATCGGTGACTGGTTTCGGCAATGGAGGATCGAAATCAATCCCGCCAAAAGCGCGGCAGTCCTTTTCGCGCACAAAAAGAACATACCCATTCCACCCCCCGTTAAACTCTTGGACATCCCAGTACCATGGGTTAATAAAGTCAAATATCTAGGCGTCGTCCTCGACTCCCAGCTTAAATTCACCCAGCACGTGACCCAGGTCAGGAACCGGGCGGCCTTCGTACTCGGTCGCCTCTACCCGCTCCTCAATAAAACGTCAAAAATGTCCCTTCGGAACAAGGTGACCTTATATAAGGCAGTAGTTCGCCCTATCATGACGTACGCGAGCCCCGTCTTCGCTCACATTGCTCCGAAGCAAATACACCGGCTTCAGGTGATTCAAAATCGATTCTTGCGGAGAGCCACGGGAGCACCCTGGTTCATGCGCAATATCGACCTACATGTCGATCTAGAATTGCCCACCATCGCGCAATTCCTGAAGTCGGCGTCGCGCCGATATTTCGATTCCGCCGCCGCGCATCCCAACCCACTTATCGTAAGTGCCGTCACCTACAGGCCCTTGCCGCTCAATATTTTCCGCCGCGATTACCGAAGACCGCGTCACGTTCTCGACTTCCCTGACGATGAGACGACTATCGCCATCGAAAGGATCACAAAACTCAAGAAACACACCAACACACACCGCACTCGCCGGCGAGTGCGGCAAACATCATACTAGGTTCCGCCACGTACCTGGCAGGTTTTCCCCTATTAATGATAGAAGCGTTGCTGGAGTTTCTTCCGCCACTTCTTCTCCCAGCGCCAACGCTCTCCGAAGTGGTAGTGTTATGTTAGCTCTAGTAATTCCCCCAGTCAGATAATAACTACCGATCGAGCCGAGGTCCGGCCCTCTCGGGCACCCTCGAATCGGAATGCTAAACGCGTGCTGAGTGACAGCCCAAGCCGAGGTCCCCTCTCGGGGACCCTTGAGCCTGATCACTCCATGGAGCGCCCTAAGAGCTTGGCGGCCTCCCAAACCGGTAACAATAATAGCGTGACGGCCCGAGCCGAGGCTCCCCCGGGAGCCCTCGAGCTTAGTCACCATAACGCGTAATAATAGTACGCCGAGGTTCTGGCTAGGCGCCTCGTGCGCCAGGCCACCTCAAGTCCGTCGGATCTGTAAAGGCCCCTAAGGCCCACAGTGGCTCATCCAGCCAAAAAAAAAAAAAAAAAAAAAAAAAAAAAAAAAAAAAAAAAAAAAAAAAAAAAAAAAAAAAAAAAAAGGCCTATGTTAAGCAGTGGACTCAAACAGGCTGAAATGATGATGATGAAGGTATTGTTGTCACTGATGACCTACGGAACCGAGACATGGTCCTACATTTCTGGCCGTATAAGGAATAGGGAAGAAAGATTTTCGAGGGGCAGCCTCAATTAGCCATTGCAGTGTAGGAAAGTCGATGGATGCAGTTGGCTCATGATCTTTCTTCCTGTCTGAGGAGACTGAAATGATGATCTTTAATGAATAAAGAACTATAAAAGAAAGTACTACTACACCTTCAAGCTTAGAAGAAGTGTTGTAGTGTAGTGTTTAATTATTTATGCATAAAAAAATATTTCTTATTTAAATAACAAAACAATACTAAGAACGTTGAAACCAACAAAGAGTCAGTCAACGAGACAGTTAAAATTATACAGTAGTAATTGTAACTTAAAATACTTCTCACAAACCATACACATACTCGTACATACAACAAAGGAGTTGCAGGAGAATTCAATTTGCATTTGGTAATGAAACCCTAAATTTCACCTCTGTGTATTGGTTCGGAGAATTTATACGTGGACATGGTCATCTTGATATCGTCATCAAGCCGGTTACAAAATAAAATTGTGATTTATTATTAAACTAGAAATAAAGAAAATCTCTTTATTTGACATCACTTAAATAAAAAATCTTAAAACAAAAGAAAAATAACTATTGTGACATCAAATTGGAACTCCATTTCAGCAAATTCCTACAGTTTTATTTTACTGCAGCGCTGATTTTCACATGGAAACTAGTGATCGAGCAGGAAAAATTTTGAGGCACAAAAATAATGGTATATTTTCAGCAGTTGCGTCTTTCGTTTATTTTTGTTATTTTACGCGAGAGATCGTACAAAGGCGTTTACCGATTGCCATGACATAAAAAAAAAATTTGGTAGCAACCATTTTACCAATGAAACGCACAGCATGGACTTATAATATAACCTTTTTATTTCTTTCGATTTGAGAAGTTGTCAAGCAAGTATGTATATGTACAATGTATGTGTACAATGTCTGACACAACGGCTAACTTTACAATGTATTCGAACTCAACGTGCCGGACAGGCTCCTGCACGCCATCCAAACCTTCCTGTTGAGTCACTTCTTTCATCTAGAGGCCATTCTCCACAAGCGGTTCTCCCACATCGAGCATTCCCCAAGGCCCATGCGAAAAGAGAAAGGTTTTGGCGCCCCATTGCTCTTTTCTACATGAGCCGCATCCAAGTAAAATCTAGTACAATACCCTAAATTCACATTTTTGTAAAACAAAGCGTGCATACGCTCCGTAATTTCCAACGCTTATATGTAATTTTTGCTCATATAAGCTCCACAAACCTGCATGAACATCAGGTATTTTAAAATAAGTTCAACCGCCAACGGGTTCTGGTGATATCAACGCATTAGAATTTAAACCATGGTTTTTCTGTAAAACCCCAATAAATTGGAATATTTGAGTTGGAAAGAAAAAAACTAGAGTTACAAGCATTTATAAAAATTTCAAATGCTAGCGTAAAGAATGAGACAATTACTTGAAAAATAATTAATTTTTAAAAATAACAAAAGGTGGTTTAATTTAAATAATAATAAACTAACTTCTCTTGAAAAGATTTTTACAAAATTCCGTAAGTATATCTTAAAATTTCAGACAAAATCCTTCTTATAAAATAAACATTGCGATCCGAATTTGAAACATACAAAATATTACCTTTCGTGTAGGATTTCACTAAGATGGCAACTGGTGCTTGATACCGCGCTATTATTAGTCTGTGGGCAGCTTGCGTACAACCGGCCGGTGTTATCAGTGTTCACAAAAAAGAACCAAATTTTAGTAAAATGGTAAAGGTGGACGTTAAATACACAAAGGTAGGAATTTTCTTTTACTTAAACGTTCGTTTTATTTTTTAAGTAAATGTTTGATAAAGTACAAAACAATAAATTTAAACCGGAGAGTAAATATTCGAATCGCACGAAATCTCGGCATTGTAGATTATGTATTTTTTCAATTATTATTAAAAACATTACTATCCATATTATTTCCCAGGTATTTGATGTACTTCTTGTGTTAATCTTATAATTTACTGAGGAAACGTAAATATTTCTAGTGTTTTGGCATGTTTAACTAATACGATTTTTTTGTTTTTATTGGTGCAAAAACTTCACGTAACATATTAATTTTATATTAATCTTACAATATTGATAAACGATGAAACTGAACTAACAATTGACAATAAAGGTCGATATTTTTTTTAACAGTGATAAGGCCTTATTAAAAATAATTAATATATTCCTTTGGCCGGAATTCACATAATAAACTATCTTCACAAAGATTTCAAAGATTATTCTTTTATATTCAAACCCCAGATCCCGGGTGGATTAAGCTTCCCTTCATTGTCTGTAAAATATTCCAAGTTCGTAAAAAAAATATATTAATATCCTTTAAAAATATAGGTGATATGCTTTACAATCCAACGTGTACCTATTGTACAGACACATGTAGACTTTAGACAGACTATTTGCTCGAAGAAAGATAAGACACCAATATTTAAAATTGTTATTGTCGAAGATACGTATATAGAAGTAGGTGGAATGAAGTTAATGTAAATAGCACATGAATGCTCAACGTGATTTTATTTATAAAATCATACAGCTTCCGTTTTCGCATAGAACCAATTAAGTCACAATTAAAAAAAAAAATTGTGGTACAAAACTTGTTAAAAATCTGTTGAAAGATGAAGAGATTGAAAAATTATAACAAACAAGCTGCTGCCTGCGACTACGTCTGCGTAGAATAGGCTGAAGACGTAACATTCAGACAGAACGACAGATATACATAAAATATGTATGTAAATTATAGCCTATGTCTCATTCTGATGTATAAGCTATATTATTGTAAAGATTCAATAAAATCCATCCAGTATTATTTGCGTGAAAGAGTAACAAACATCCATCCATACATACAAACTTTCGCGTTTATAATATTAGTAAGGATGAAACATCATTATGTTGTGACCTATAAATTTTATTTTAAACTACCGTCATTGGTATAATATTGATGAGGAATCGTTTAGTTTTAGCTTGCCAACTTTATTTACGTGCTGTGTTGAAGTTTAATTAAAACATAGGAGAAACTAGTAGATAGATGTCAAAATTTTCGCGCCATGAGATCATCAACCGCTAAGCTTAGTTGGTAAACCCTCTAAACTCCTCTAAGTGCGTTACTGGTGAGTGCGTTGAAATGGGCGTACATTTAGTTCATAAGTAATTGTTCCGTCTGAACTTTGTGTCCTTGGTGTCAGGTTTGTGAAAACTCACACACAAATTATAAGTTGGTGTGGAGCCTTCTTTTCTAAATGAAAACAACTTGTAACTCATTCGTCTAAAATATCGACATTATACGAGAATTTTTATAAGTCTAAAATATCGACATTATTTCTCGGAGATGTTTTTCTCGGTACATCATTACTTCCATAATTCTTCATCCATTAAATAGGTATTCAAACACCATTTTAAAGATAACGTTTACCGCTATTCACGAAAAACAGTTGATAAAGTTAATGTTGTCTTAAAAAGTTTAGATTTAAAAATTTCTTATAAAGAAGGTATGATGACAATGCCGTCTATTGACAATTCGTATAAAGGAAAGATAGTAAGCAGAAAAATAAAATTCTTCAAAATAAAATACCTTTTTTACACATTATCATATTATGTCTATAATGGTCTCTTCGATTATAGACATGTAAATAATCAAGTATATTACAAGTATATAATCAAAGCATATTACCATTCTGTGACTTATCACGGGACAGTGCAAAATTTTCGCACGGGCAAACTAGTGTATACTCGTATATAATAATTTAACTAATGTTTCTTTTATGTTGATTTATATAAAAGCTATCGCTGTTAATGATTTCAAACAAATAGATAGTAAAAAAAAACTTTACATTTAATAAATTTGAATGAAACGGATCACAATCTAAATCTCCAATGTTATGAATACTTCAAAAACGATAAAATTTCGATCAGCGAAAGTCTCCGTAGTAAAATAGTGACAGATAATTTTTTCAGTTGCAAATATTTTTAAACGATAGAGAAATTTATTCGACAGCAATTAAAAATGCCTCCTTTGTTTAGCAAAAATAATTAAGACTCGTTGCTGTTACAAATGAAAGGACAATGGCGAAAAAATTGTCGAGAGAAATCTGAAGCGTCTACAATTAGCATAGTTACAGATATAAATATTATAATTTCTTAAGATTTTTCAAATTATACTAAATGCCTGTACACTTGTCAGGGAAAAATTCATTTATTTTTCAAAACTCAATTGACTAAGAATATCGGCGGTGGATTCGTCTGGCTTGTTTGCCGTGCAATTAATTTTACCATATTATAAAATTAAGTCCCGAGTTAAATAATGTTATTATATTATATCTAGGGTTAAAATATTTTGAAAATATATTTTTATATCTACATATATACAATACTTCTATAGATTTAAAGTCACATTCCTGTGCTAAGAAGCAAATTACCATTTATAAATTAAAATAATTTTTGGATTTGCAATTATTTCTTAAACCTAACACAAGTATAGTAAAACGGTTGAATGGAAAAAATAAACACCTGTCAGTCTGGCTGACGACGTTAGTTGCGAATATAAAATTGAAACATAATTCCTCTAAATACAATTTTAGGAGCTAGATTATACCAATTGTGAACTATAAACGTACGTAGCTAATAACAAATAATTTGTGTATATTTTAAACTAAACGAAGAAATAATAAGCATTCTTAATTTTCTAAATACTTTATTATGAACCAAGCCTGTGAACTCGATTTTTAACAATATTTTGCCAATTATAGGATTTGTGATTTTGATAAGGCAGCACCCTCACTAAAAACTAAAGATGACAGATTGTTGTTTTGCTTTTATTTTGTTCGTTGCCTAGTTTTATTTTTTTGTTTAACTTGTGCTGAGTTAATTTTAGTAATTTACTGGATCTAGTATTATCACTGAGAACGATTATGAAGTCGACGATTTTGTGTTTATGCTGGAAATTGTGTTGTGATTTGTGAGAAACTCCTTATGCGATATTGATGCTTATATTATTTTAATTTTAATCTTAAGTTGTACGATAAGGATACTTTGCTAACGGAAGGGCAAAAAAGCATGACTTGTGTTAAATGCGGAATTGTATCGCCTTTGTATGGAGAGAATCATTGAGCAATACTCAATACCATATTTTTGTGAAATAAAAATACATTCATGCAATTACTATAGTTTGGTACCTATGACGGACCAGAATTACCAAAGTATTTTAGGACCAGCAGGTTGTCTTGGTGGTAAGAGTAATGAAGAATAAATAATTCAAAAGACGGTGTTTCTTATTTACGGAATGTCTAATATTATAAATGTTATAAATGAAAATGTTTTTCTTCGAAGATTGTTATCTTAGTTAGCCCTTAACGGTACCTACGTAAAAACATATAAAAAATGCTTAATTTTTCTAGCTATTTTTTATATCGAGGCTTATTTCTAAGTTTTTTTAAAAGCTGTAAATGTCGAAATATAATGATAGTATCGTTAAGGAATCTGTTACCTAATTTGGTAATCGTTTTTAACTTCCTCACAATAAAAATAACAGCCGTTTGGAATTAATACTCTGTCAGTTCGATTTGAATAGAATATTATAGATGTTATGCTACCCTGTAGGTGCTGGAAACATCTATGGCGTCGTTTGGTTTATAATAATCTTGTTTTACATAGAACGCGGTCTATTTTATAAAAGATTGTTTTTATTATTATTTAAACTCATAACACTAATATACGACATAACCTTAAAAACTTTAGACCGAAATATCTTTAATTCCACACTTACTTTAATAACAATATGTATGTATGATATATTCAGAACATTAAATTCTATATTTTTAAATATTTTTCGTGTCAAGACGCAAAAAAATTTGTTCAACAAAAATTTGTTGGTATGGGAATTCGCCATTGTCTTTTGTCATTTATTCATATTTCTTTACTTTAAATCGAAAAATAACCTAAACAGGTTATTTTTTGTATAACATGACCATTTGTTTATTGAAGGTAATTTAACTATGAATATTATAATTTAACTCAACAGACCCCGGCCTCAGTGTCGTGTAAAACATATAAACTCTAATAACATTAAATCGTTTGAAGGGACTGGAAACAGAAATCGAGATAGAGAGATATTGAAATCAAAGCGATTTCAATATCTCTCTAAGTAGCTGCATAATCGCTTAAGATGTTTAGGAAACTGTTACGTATACACAACTACTGGGTCAGGGAACTAGCTTCTTCGTATTTTGTAAACAAATTCGAAAAAAATTAATTTCATAACATTTTATATAAGTGCCATTTTGTGTGATAACCTGTTGCTATCTCGTAGGTAGTGGCACAATCCCGAGCAAAATCTGAGCAAAAATCTTGCTAAGTGGTCAAAGATTTTTGTGGTCTGGCGGTATCGTGATGAAAGACCACATCCTTTCCGTTTATTAATTCCCGCTGTTTTTTTTCTTTTTCGAGTCTCATTAGGTCTTAGCAGCAGATATCCGAACCGCTAGTTTTTACCGGTTGTTATAGCTCATAATGAAAGATTATCTTCCTTCAAATTTCACTATACACAGCATCAACTTATTGCGTATTAATCCGGGTTTCTTACAGTCTGTGGAGTTTTGTTTTTAGCCCTTCGACAATGATAATTTTCGCACGTGTTTCATCATGAGCGATTGACTTTTCATAATCAGTGATCAATTTCTTAAAAAATGAATCTGTTTCATTACGTTTAAACAGAGAATCTGAAAATCATACATGATTCATTAGGTTTCATTGAGTGAACTCTGTGGCACCCAAATATGCCGAACTTGCTCCACTTTCTAAGAAATGGCATCGACTTTATCCGTAAAATAGCGACCAGAGCCAGATGCATCTTTGACACCAAAGTTCCTAAAAACGCTTAAACCAACTTTATGCTACTCTTACTACACTTAAGTACATAAACATCCCGGAAAAAAATTTCCCTTTTATATAATAAAACTTCAAAATGTCCAAACATGTAATTTCTTCATTAGATTCATTTATTTTGTCGGACAAAAAATCAATTGAAGAATAGCGGGAAATTGTTTATGACTTTATATTCTTCTTTTTTAAAATGTCATAAATGTTTAATGGTACCAAAACCAGTCAGATACAAACAATACAGACAAGAAGATTTTAATATAACTCGCAAACATACAATAAACACAAAAGGACTTTCTCCTCGGCCTATAACATTACGTATCAGTGGGCAATAAAACGCTTAACCTACTTAAAAGTGAATCCCGATCGCTTGACCCGCCATACGAAATGCAAAAGTACATACTAATTTACAAGAGAGACCATGGTACCTCCCCAAATATGCCTGCCCATTCCTGCAATTGCAGAAGCAGCTGGTATTCTGATGTAATAATTCCAAATAACCGAGTCTTCATTGTTTTTAGTTGTTCATCAATAACGAGTGGGTAGATGCTGTGAGTAAGAAGACATTCCCTACCATCAACCCTCAGGATGAGACTGTTATCGCGCAGGTTTCAGAAGGCGATAAGGTAATTGAAATATATTTATTATTGAACGATACGAAACCTCCACCTATATAAAATTATGAGCTTTTCTTCAGTTAAAATAAACTTTTAAAAAATTAGACATTCCATGAGGTCAAATTTAACATTAGCGGCTTCTACGTTTTTTGTGTATAAATATTTTAATCGATAGAGACATGTATACAACATGTAATTACAAAGTGAAATTTACGAACTCCCTTACTATTTATATTATAAAAAATTGTTATTTTCGCTGAGAAAATCATCTGCTTTTGAAGTTATACTTCTTTTTAGGAAAATTATAAGAATAAAAATTATTGAGAACAAACCGACACCCAAAATGCGACATGATGAAGTTGGTTGCAAAGCGAAAAAAAAACTTCACGTTATTACCACATGGCAACCAATAACCATTTTTTAACAGTTACTTATAATCGCAAGTTATTTAATTAAACCGTTATTAATTGCGTATAATGTCTTTTTTTTCAACAACGTGCACGTGATAAAAGTTTTAGTTATTTTTCTTTTGTTACACTAAAGAAGTATAACTACATTCATGGGTACATAAATAAGTAAACACATACTTTAAAAGTTTATTTACATTAATATGTAAACTCATTTTTTGTCGTTGAATTCAAAAAAATATCCTGTTCGGCCAATTAACCAATGCAAGATCGTTACACAACGACGATATTTAAATACAGCCAACATGCTAGTATGTCGAAAAATCTTATCGATTTCCAAATTTTGTAAGATCTTTACCTGATAATTTCTTGTATTTACGCGATTACACATTATAAATGAAACTAATTTTACGGATTTATCGCGTTTATTTTCTCTTTACCGCTTAAATATTTTAACTTATTTATTACTTTTCATTTTTAATAAGGTTTCTATTGCCTCAAACAGATTGGTGAGGTTCGTTAGGTATACTTTAATTTTATATATATGAAAGAGCCCCGTAAAACGAGTCGTTGTCACCAAACGCCTCCTTTACCTACGTGAGTTACCTCTTAGGTCATTAAAATGCCCCTCATTTAAACAATTATTACTTTTATTATGAAAAAAGTTGAACCTTAATACGTCTTGTTTCGTTGTATATTGTAAATTACATCTGTATCATTTACACAGTATAAAACAAAGACGTCCCGTTGTCTGTCTGTCCCTATGTATGCTTTAGATCTTTAAAACTACGCAACGAATCTTGATGTAGTTTTTTTTAAGTAGATAGAGTTTTTCAAGAGGAAATTTTATATGTATAAAATATTTACAACCGTGCGAACTTTGGGGTGGGTGGCTCGTCATTTATAAGTAGCAATAATAATAGTAAACATACCTACTGATTCCTAAACCTTTGCAGGCCGACATCGATTTGGCTGTTGCCGCAGCCAAGAATGCCTTCTACCGCTATTCAGAATGGCGTACCATGGACGCCTCATCAACGAGGCATGCTGATGCTTAAACTGGCCGATCTTATGGAGTCCCAAGCTAGATACTTAGCGGAGCTGGAGACTCTCGACTGCGGGAAACCAGTCAGAACTGCCGAGGACGAAGTGTACTACTCCGCAACCGTGCTTAGGTTCTACGCAGGGAAGGCTGATAAAATCTTAGGAAGCACAATACCAGCAGGTACGGTAGTATATTGAATATGCTGTTTTACATTTCGAGTTAAGAAATAAAATAAATTAAAAAACTGCACAGACCGAAGGATTGCTCAATCTTGTTTTCCAACCGACTTCAAAAAGGAGGAGGGACTCAATCGGTTGCATGTCTTTTTTACGGTCCCGTACCCAACTGTGGTAGGGCCACGCAGCAGCCTCGGCTGTTGCACGAATGGGCAGGCTCGTCCGGGTAAGTACCACGAACTCACAGAAGACCGGCGTAAAGTAGAAGTATAATACTTTCTCGTTCCGTCTGGTGAGTGAGATAGCCAGATCCCAATTTTCAAAAGCGCATTCTTTAACGCATCTCGAACCCTCGGGTGTAGCAGATGTCCATGGGCGGGTATGAACTTAACATCAGGTGAACCGCGTGCTCGCTTGGAAACTTTTCACGTAAAAAAACCCAAAGGGGATCCTATTACTACGACTCCGCAGTCTGTCTATCTGTTTGTCTGTTTCTCTGTCCGTTTGTCACAAGGTTGTATCTCATGAACCGCGATAGTAAGACAGTTGAAATTTTCACAGATGATGTATTTCTGTTGCCGCTATAACAACAAATACTAAAAACATTACAAAAATATTTATGTGAGGCTTCCATACAACAGTAACAGTATTTGTAAAAACATACATCTTATAATGTATTTATAATAGATAATTACTTTTAATAACTGTATTGTTCTTATCGAGCCATTATGTAAGTGACAAACATATCATGCTATCACCCGAATTATTTAGCGTGATCATTGTATATTAAATATATTTGCATTATATTTAATATATACGCTTTTTTAAATCTTAGCCAACACATAGATTAAAATTATAAGACATATATCGATAACATTGAAACTTAAATAGGAATTATTTTAGAATATCAATAAAAAAAAATATTATAAATAAAAAAACTCAATAATGCGCCGTCCATATAATACTAAGCTAAATTTAAACTAAGTATAGATACTCGATTTTAATTATGCCGGAACTATTGTATCTACTAATATCAACTTTGCCGAGAAAGTTCTGTAAACGAAACACGAGTAAATATCTTCAGCGTCCATCGTAAGTGTTTGGTACAAATCTTTAAAAATATTATATCGCTTACCAATTAGGTACCCAGGGCTCATATTGTTCATGACCCAGAAAATTCGTCCTAAATAATGGGAGAAAAAATGACTCGTTATTACGAGCAAATTGCTTTCGCATCTAGTAGTTTTTGAGCATAAAACTTTTTCATGGAACATCCATAGGTATCTTGTTTCATACTGCATTTACCAAACAATAGATCAATGCCACAAAATTCGCTGATGTCGTGAAAATAAACTGATTCTGACAGAAGCGAAGGGGCGGTTTGCAATGCAATCATATCATGGTGTAAGCAAAAGTTAAACTTATAAATATTTATAAATGTACATAACGGCAGCAGATTATTTTATTTGTCAAGTGGAATCCTATTAATAAGTATTTACTCCGATAAGAAACGAGTTAAATGCTATTTTAGTGCCAATTGATGTCTTTGTTCACCGCGGGTATACTAATGAAATTACACTCTTCTCTCTAACTGAAAACAGACCCAGTTTGTGTAGATACGCCCCTTCATCTTAACCAAGCCATGTATTTGCATCCAAATCATATTTTAAAATGTGTTGCTATTTTTATTATAATTAATTGTTATAGATGGCGAAGTTTTTTCTATGACCCTCAAGGAGCCGGTAGGAGTGTGCGGGCAAATTATACCCTGGAACTACCCCATACCAATGTTGTCGTGGAAAATAGCTCCAGCCCTTGCCGCAGGTATACCATCTTATAAAATAATAATAATAATACTTTGCTTTATATCAAGTTTTTTGATTATATTTGCATTTCCGTTATAACTTCAATTTCGTTTCATTGTGATAAAAAACTGTATGATGAGACACAATAATATGTTCATTGTTTAGAAAATAATGTAAAAATAGTTATTTCATAACTACTTTCCTTGTTGTGAACTATTCAAACATTCTTTTCGTTCTAGAACGATTTAAATTTTTCACAAAACTACTTACGTTTACTTCAATTTTTCTTTCTTCGTTTTGACATGGTTGCAAAACAAGTACCACTACGTAAAATTTTCTTTATTGAATTGATATAATCTGAAGTCTATAGCAATTTATAAAAACAACTCAACAAATGTTACCGTCTAATCTTTTCTTACAGCTCAGTGTAGACTTTTTCGGTTGGAAGGTATAAGGGAATGACCCGTTCGTAATCCCTCTGAATTCACGCTTTTGTATCCAAAACATTGTTTAAAAGTAGTAATACGAAATATTGTTTTAAAAACCCAGAGCTTTCATTACCGAAAAAATAATAACAAATGATTGTGATGGAGAAACCATAGCCAGTATGTGCATTTACTTATTCCAAAGCCAGTTCTACTTCAGTGTTAGACCTGACATATTTCGTTGATGGTTGTCGCATCAGCAAGAGTTAAGACCCATTTACACGGTGCAAGTTTCTTGCCTGTTGTATACAATTAAATTGAAGCAATAAATGAGTTGCATGGTCTAAACAACAAATGGTCTAACCAATTATTGCGTGCAATTTATTGCATTCAATTATTGCTCTTGTATGTACAAGAAAATGGCATCGTGTAAATGGGCCTTAAGGGCAAAAATGTACTCAGAAATAGTTAAGAAGTAAAAGGAATGCGGCAAGGTGAAAGATTTAGAAGAGAAGGTAGATTTCTACTGTGATAGAAGCCACTTCTGCTGGGGCACTTATAAGCAGTCTCGTCCGGGAAGTACCACAGCCTCTAAAGAACGGCGTGAGGTGGTTTCTATGCTTTCATAATTCATCTGGTGTGTTAGATAGCCGTGGTCCAGTGTTTTAATGATTGGCAATACTTCTAAAACCCGTCAGATACTATAATTTCCATGGTCGGCAGCAATCGCTAAACATCAGATGAACCTGTTCGCTTGTTAACATCAGATAAACAATTCTATTTTCATTAACGAAAAACCGACAAAACCGACTTCAAATATCTCGCTCCGTATTCTATGAAATGAATACGGAGCGAGATATTTGAAGAGATATTTGATTCTTAGAAGTTCCCTAAGTATCTCCGGGGCAAGATCCAATAACGATGAAATTAATATGGGACCATCAAAATCGGTTCATCCGGCAGAAAGTTCCGAGGTAAAAAACAAAAAAAAAATGCTCCTCCTTCTAAAAAGACGCCTTAAACGATAGCCTGTAACCACCAGGCTGCACGATAGTGCTTAAACCGGCGGAGCAAACGCCGCTGACAGCGCTGGCTGTTGCCTCCCTAATCAAGGAGGCGGGCTTCCCACCCGGCGTGGTGAACATAGTGCCCGGGTACGGACCGACCGCCGGCGCGGCGCTCACTCACCACCCGGACGTCGATAAAGTCGCCTTCACCGGATCCACCGAGGTGACCGTTCCCTTCCTCAGAGATGTGCAGTTTGCGCGTAGGTCATCACACGAATTGTCACACCTAGTTATGCGTAGGTCAATGTGAAAACGTAATTTTGTATTTTTTACGAAATATGTATTCTTTCGTAAAAATTTGAAATACGTTTTTCGAATAATTAAAGATTCGATAATTACAGAATTCACTGACATGTTAGAAACGGTAACGTCGAAAACAATACAGGTCAATGATTTATGCTGGCGCGATGCACACTTGTCAACAATGTAATTATATCAGCAAGCTAACACTACACCTGATGTCTACATTCAATCAACTCACTGGTTTGCGTTAAAAATCTCTATACGAATGTTTAATACATTTGTAAATTAATGACGCATATATTGAAAAACTAAAAATTCAATGAAATTTCTTTTGTAAATAATATTTGTTAACTGTGAGAGTAAAGAAGCATTAAGTGGTTTGTAATATAAACATACTCGTCATTGAAGAGATTAAAGTAATTAAAATGAGTAAAATAATAAGTATTCAGTAAACCTAACCATTATGATATAAACATTTTTTAGAAGTTTGTTAATCCTAGGTTGGCAAAATAATCCTGGGGGCTGCGTCAGTAACAAACCTGAAACGTGTATCTTTGGAGCTTGGAGGCAAGAGTCCTTTAGTTATCTTCAACGACGCTGATGGTAAGTGCACTGAAACTTATATTTATTTCGATTTTACCGCAGGGAGTTTCGTTCTAGCCCTTCTTCGGCCAAGTCTTTCGAGAATCAATGATAGATTTAACGGTGAATTGCAAAATTAATTACGATATTCGTTAGATTTTTCTTTATGAGCATGTTATTAAAAAAGAGCAGGTAAGAATAAAATGAAAAACAATATTACCTAACCGAGGGTAGAAAGGATGTGTCAAACTGGTTTGCGGTGTGTCAAAATAATTTACCCTTAAAAATCTAAGCATACATAGGGACAGACAGACAGCGGGACGACGTTGTTTTATACTATGAAGTGATGTGTATTTATAGTTATGTTCGAAAATATCATGACGTAACAAGTGAATAGTAGAGTTTAGTAAGAGTTGTCTATTGTTTACGTTGTGGCCACTCTGAATCCATTTTTACACAAGCCAAAACCTCAAAATGTTATTCTTATGAATTATGCAGTTTATTAAATTATGAAAAATTACCAAAAAAAGTCATTTTAAAAATTATATGATTCCCGAATATGTTCAGCAAGAAAATCGAGCAGCTTTAAGTTAAAACAAGCGTGTACCGTGTACTTAAAATGTTCAATCGATTACAAAAAAATTGAGTATATTTTACGCATTTTCGAGACATTAAATATTAAAAAATCAAGTTTTAGTGACCAGAGTGCACAGTTAATTGAAGTAAGGTTCAAAACATGATGGGTTACCATATACAATAAATTATAGTAAGAAGTTTACTTGAGGGACAAAAAGCAAGAACAAGTTTAGAAAAACTAAAGAAATTATGTAAAAATTAAGTGTGTTGTGATGTGGTCCGTAATAAAGGTTATCGAGTAATGAATACACGCTTCTTTAGAATTCCAAGTAAACTCTGATAAGATAACGAGGGTTTGTTGTTATAACAATGAAAAAAATTACGCGATGTGAGTGCGGGAGAGAAAATATTTAACGGTCTTTAAAATTAACTGTTAAATTGAAGGTACTATGAGGACTAGTTTCTTTATAAGGCTTATATTTACAGTCACACTCATTTAATGTTGTCTTTGCGGACAAACAGTTACGAGTCTCAGACGTACCCATCTTCTTTATTTATTTATTAAAAACTTTATGCACAAACATTGAGCCATTAAGCATTATCCGAACACTAAACCGTGATAGCTCAGTTTATCATTTTCATTTATTACATTAATATTGAGATATTTATCTATATAAAACATGTATTTAAAATATGATGGTTCAACCAAATATTTGCATATATTTTATTGACTATCCTCTTTCACTAACTTCTCAATCCAGCCAATCTTATCTCGGCTTAGTTATCAAACAGTACGTAGACAGTCAATAAACAAATCTGTAACAATAATAGCGAAAATCCCTTATTCTGCGGGTACTTCATCCATTTATCATATTATTATGTAAATTTTTAATCGTAGTACATAATTTGTTTTGTTTTTTAGGACCTTAGTAAATAAAATATAAAGGTGATGATTTGGTACCACGTCGCTTTAGAATTTTTCCCGTCATGTCATTATCACACTTACGTTATCCAACAATACGACAGATATGATCGATCTAAGTAAATAAATGGGTGAAATTATGTTAAACTTTATCTCCTTTTTGTGTAGTTGTGTTTATTTTAAAAAGGCGGAAGGTAATCACGAAAAACATGAAAAGATTTGGTCATCACTGAAAGTCAGCGTTGCTGTTACTGCAAATTCTGCCGAATAATATCATTTATGGCAGGATCTTTTTGTATGTAAGAAAGATGGCAAGCGAGCTGGCGGTTTACCCTATGTTAAGTGATAACCACCACTCATGAATATTTGCAACACCTGTAGGGTTGCAGATGACGAAACGCAGAAGTTCAACACGGACGGACCTGCTCATTCGTGCTACAGCGAAGACTGTTGCACATAGTCTTCCCTACCACAGTTTACATACCAAATCGAAGGTTTAGCCTTAACACCAAAAGAAAGTAAAAAGTACAAAAAACCGTACTGGAACCGTCACAAAACCCAGATACCGTATATGTGGCCCCAGTCATCACCTACCAGCTTCTCATTGCGACTATTCTTATGAAAACTCACCATACCAACCGACTTACCGCAGTGGAATTTTAATGTCTCATGCTTACAAAGTGGGGCAACAAACCACCGCTGAATTGATGGTTGCTAGATTCGATTCCGGCCCTCTATCGGCCAATAACGCTTCCATTCGGAAACTAGCCTTGTATAACTATCGGCGAATAACGCTTCCAGTCGGAATCTAGCCTTGTATAACCATCGGCGAATAACGCTTCCAGTCGAGAAGGCGGCACAGATAGCCCACGCGGCCGCCTTCGCCAACGGCGGGCAATGCTGCTGCGCAGGAACCAGGACATACGTTCAGTCGGGCATTTACGATCAGTTCGTCTCCAAAGCGGCCGATATAGCGAAGAAGAGGTCAGTCGGGAATCCCTTCGACGACGTACAACAGGGGCCGCAGGTAATGAACTTCTTTGAACTTCGCGACTTATTTAATCGTGCCTTCGTCCTTTTCGCCACTTCTTCAACGACTTCTAGAGGCCAGATTCTATATTATTTGATAGATTTGGTTACTAGCGATAGGTATTTGACATTAGCTCCATAATACTAACGTCAAAATTCGATCGCCAGAAACCAAATCTATCTGTAGATAGAGTATAGAAACCGGCCGTAAATAAGTCTGGTTGAGCGCTTGAAATGTCGCTGAGCAGTCGAAATGGTTCGGTACATAAAGTATATGCTTTACGTACTAAAAACCGTCACTGCTTTTTCTACAGACGGACGTAATGAGGGGACTGCTTACGTAGGACTCTCGATACAATCATCTTCGTCCATACCCACATGATTAAAAATTCAATTCAGTACAGAAGCATTACTCTTACTTATTGATTGTCAAAAAGTACTACGGGTTGGGAAAACAAGGCCACTGACTTGAGAAGAACCGGCGAAAGAAACTGAGCGGATCAATTTTTTTTTTTCAAACATAATTTGACAAATATAACAAACATGTAGGTATACAATATTTTCAATTCCACTTGAAGAACCTGGAGCGATTAATTCATTTCCAGAGTGCTTTATCATTTAAATAATCACTAACACTATAATAGTCTCTAACACTCAAGCGTTCCTTTAATTTTTTTTTAAATTTAGCAACTCATTCATTTTGAACGTTTTGTAGGATTTTGATTGCATTCGAAACATTTACCCGCGTGCGTCAGCTGTAGACGGTGCTTGAATTGTTTCTCTTGAACAGATCGACAAAGAAATGTACACGAAAGTGCTGGAATACATCGATTCGGGGAAAAAGAGCGGCGCCAAGTGTGTCGCGGGCGGCGACAAGATCGGCGAAGTAGGCTACTACATACAGCCAACTGTTTTTGCCGACGTCCAAGACAGCATGAAGATTGCCAGGGAAGAGGTAAGTTGCCGTGGCTGCGCTGCCTTTAATAACACTATTTTAATGCCTAAATAACAAATGACTAACAAACAACAACGTTATATATTTCCTTTTTGATTTTGGGGAGTTTTCGACATATATCCGGAGTCCAAAATAGCAATAAAATTATAAAAGGACCACATGGTAGATAACACAAAAAAAAAATTAAAACGATAAATGACGGAGTTCTGAGGCAAAAGAGAGTTACAAACGTGCAAAAAATAACAACTGAATGAAGAATCTCCATTGAAGTCGCTTGAAAAGAACCCGAAACTATGTATTTTTACTCGCTACCACAGTCAACCTGTCCTTACGATTAACCGGGAATTGAACTCTGGTTGCTCGAATATATTTAATTTAAAGTGAGCACCGGCCACTGAGCTATTACGGCTCACACACGTAGTAATGTATAGATTGATGTCGTAATGAAAATGAAGTTATTATTAGATACAGAATTCTTCTTATTTACGCTGTTCTTATGTTCTTTGATTATCTTTTTATTTAAACGTTTTCGTACCCTTATTTCCTTAAGCCATAACCATTATTGACGCAGATATTCGGACCGGTGCAGAGCATCCTGAAGTTCGATAGCTTCGACGAAGTGGTCGACCGCGCCAACGACACCAACTACGGCCTAGGGGCTGGTGTTATCACCAACGATATCACAACAGCTATGAGCTTCGCGAAACACGTGCGTGCAGGGTCTATATGGTGAGTATAACGAACTACACTTAGAAACCACTAGCAATGATCCTGTATAATGTGAATTTTTGTAGATAAAAGGACTTCGTAGTAATCTTTTAGTTTTACTAAGCTAAGCGGTCGCTTAGTTAAGTTGTTAAAATGCAGGTTTCAATCCCGCAGCATCGAAACTTTTTGTCCGTTAACCTACAGAAATCCTACAGTAATCCTTTAGCTTAAAACTATAATGGGATATACAGGCTGTAGCAAATGAATTAAGCGGATATTTTCACGGCGCGACGAAAATCTCGACAAATACAACTAACATTGTACACTTATAAAAGCATAGGTGTCTCCTTTGCTTTATAAGTACAGAAATTCTTGAGTGCTAATCTGTACTCAATATCAAATTTAAATGTGAATTCAATAGGTGAATTGTGGAAACCCAATCATAAAGAGTGGTTTATGTGTATAGCAAAGAAAACGTTTATACAACAGAAGCAGCGGACTTGCATTGTTACCAGCTTTGTGTGACTTCAGTTTTTTATGTTACTTTCTTCTTTTTTACACGACGTCTTAGACGAATTTCACCATACATAAAAGAATACGCACACATCTGGGCAATCGCTGGAAAAGTGTACCCTAAAAATTTTTCTTCCAAAAGCTCGTAAAAATAAACTACTCTCCAATCTTACGGTTAAAGACGCCAATTGACTAAAACCGCGTTTATTTATCCCTTGTTCAGTCGCCCATTGCAGTCTTGAGGCCTTTAAAACTAAAATGGCATATAAATGAGAGCTACTTACCAAATTAAAAATTTTCCTAACAAAAACATGTACAAACATTACCTACGTTCTGTTGTCAAACTGCGTTCATTTAACGCTTAATCTCAACCACGCTATCTATTAAAATAACTGTCTTCCGACGAACAATTTGAAAAAGTGAGAGCGCTATTTTAAACCGGTACCGCATAGATGAGGCAGATTTATTAACAGTTGAAAAGAAATCTTCATTGGCTACAAAACGTGGCCGTTTTAATACAATTTGATTCGACTCGTAAACTATAAAATATGACACATGGCAATTTGGCAAATTAACGCGTATAGTAAAATTCCGATTGCGTGTGGCGCTTCACGTACTTTTGATATATATAAGAAAATACTTTTAATATATATTTCTTTCTTTTGTATAGACGCGTGTACTGCAGGTTGTGGAATAAAATAAGGTTTCTTCGTTCTTGGTATAATTTCTTTACTTTACTAACACTATGACGTTCAGACGTGACGTTTTATTTTAAGTTCCAGTTAACTTATATGATCATTTACTTTGTGCAAGATATGAGACCAGCGCACCAAAATTGAGGCACTAAAATTACACCAATTGGTGTTGTTACATTGAAATTCTATAGACTATTATCTCTTACCACATCTTACGTTCTATATATTCTGTCACATTCACACAACAACAATTTTTAAACGCCGCGCATTATGAACATGTGTCATCTATATTTTCAAACATCAATTGATTTTGTGTAACCCTAACATCATATGTGAATTAAATGAGAATCACCCAGGATACCCCGAACGCTGTTAGCGTTTAACTTTACACAAAGTTTCTATAAAAATTTCACTTTCCACTTTTTCTTTTCCATAGGATCAATACTTACGACCACGTGACCAGCCAAACGCCTTTCGGCGGCTTCAAGGACTCTGGGCTTGGCAGGGAATTGTAAGTTTCTATTTATTTCATGTCACTTTTTTTATTTTCTCGAGGTTTTTATTGTTCACTTTTTATTACAAATTTTCTCAATTTTCAAGTAAAATGCGGATATTAATTCCCTATTAAAGTTATTCCAAAACCTTAAAAAAATATTTATAAATATTAATTCAATCCTAGAATAATGTAAGTGGGCAAAGTAAATATTCCTTGCAACATTTTTAGATTTGGTTTAAAAACAGAGTATATTGTTAGATCTGGTACTTGAAAATGGGATAGATAGACACTTATGTCTTTATTTTTACAGAGGAGAAGATGGGATCAACCAATATTTAGAAATCAAAACTGTTACCATGGCGTTACCAAAGAAACCTCAGATTTAGAAAAAAATACAAATAAACACCCGATCTCTGAAAACGTGATAAATGCTTGTGAAATGTCATTAACAGACTAGCCTATTTTACGGCCGCACTCTAGATTATAAAGTTTAGACTTTAAATTCGTACATTTGAAAATCAGTCTTAATCCTTTTCAAATAAGACTTAAATAATAAAAAAAATATTCCACTAAAGAGCTAATTTATGGCTCTGAGTGCAAAGTTAAAAACTGTATTCCCTACTATCCATTCAAACCGATCTTATTCCAGACAAGAGATAAAAATATTTTGTGCCAATATATTTTTTCATCGTTTTGTTATAAATTTTTTCATTGCAATTTTTAATATTTTGATTATAAATATTGTTTTTTTAGATTGTTGTTCTGTTATTTACCCCTGATAATATTTAGTAATGTAATTATGGAAACGCTCTGGGTTGGCTCTGGTCTTTTGGGTTTTTTTATGTGAAAAGTTGCCAAACACGCAGACAGTTGACATCCGCTACACCCGAGGGTTACAGATGCGTTAAAAACCTTTTGAAAATTGGGCTCCGGCTACCTCACTCACCAGACGAAACGCGAAAATATTTGTCATACTTCCACTTTACGCTGGTCGTGGCTATCCACGCTTTTTTCGCTAAGTCCCAGAATAGCGTTTTACGTTTTTGAACTCGCAACCTAGACCCTTAACAATAGATTGTTTTAGTATGGACAATAATATAAAGCAAACAACTGATCATTGAACGTCGTAAATATGTAGTTTATGACATTTTATGTGTAAAGAAAAAGTTCGTTTATGAGAATATTAATAAACGATTATTTAAATATTTAAAATAAAATTATTATCCATTTTCATGACAGTAACTGATTCCTTCGCCATCTTACACCAGCTCTAGAACACTTCGTGCTGCTGCCAATCCGTGTCCCCTTTTAGTCGCGTTTTACGACAGGCAGGGGACACCTTAGCCAGTGTTCCCGTGGCCCTGCCGATATGCGCATAGGTGTAACATCGTGGGGGTCGGTGCGAGTCCGACATAAGCCGCTCTCGCCCCCGCGAGGGCGGGTATGCGTGGGCATTTCCCCCACGTCAACAAAGAAGAAGCGGGACACCTTAGCCCTATTCTATGAGCCCGGGACTACAGGGCCGATGAAGGGAGCCGCCTGCACGCTTGGCAACTTTTGACAAGAATAAGTCGTACACTCGGCTAGTACTTACCGACGATCTTGTACTGCTTCTCCGTGAGGTGCATCGACATCATTCCGCACACGTGCGCCCCGAGCGAGTGGCCCACGCACGTGGTCATTTTGGCGAGCGCCCCGGCTTGCGTCAAGAGCGAATACAGCTGGGCGGTGCACTGGGCGGCCAATCTGGAAGCAAATACTGCACCGATTGAGACTCGTAACTAATGAAATGGAAGTGAGGAAGGAAAGTTTTACTGACAGAGGCATTGGTTTGTTTACGTTACGTAATATATAACAGACTAATTATTTTTTTTAAACGTGAAGCCTTAAAATTGAAAAGTGATTAAGACATTCGAATATCGGTTTTTATCGAAGATTTTACGGCGTCATAAGAAATTTCAACAGTTAAATTATAATCATTTATCTATTTAACTCACAATTACATAAGTATGTTCCAGAGTACAGATTAGCACTAAAAAGAAGAATAAGCTGAAATTACTTTACTTGTCATTATTAAAGTAAAAGAAAATAAATTACCTCATATTAGAAAGCGCCGACAAATAACACGGGAATCTGGACAGTCTGGACCAATCAACCATGAAAACATTGTAATCCTTACGCGAGAGGTAGGCTGCAAATAAAGATTATTTTATCGGTATAGTGAAATACGTGACATCAAAACAATACAGCGCGAGCCAATCCTATAAAGCAGTTCAAAATAGATTAATTGTAATAAAAGATTAAAAAGTAAGATTAAAGTAAGTCTATAAATATTCCACTGCTCGGCAAAGGCCTCCTCTTTACAGAGAGTATCAGCGCATAGTCCACCACTGCGGAAATATTTATATATATTTTTTTGTTATTTTGTCGAAAATATGGAGGTTTCCGCGCGATATTTTCCTTCACCGCTGAGCACGTGATAAGTCAGCATTTAAAATTAAAATTTTCATTGGTACCGGCACTGGTGATCGAACTAGGTTTGCTGGAGTAAATTGAAAAAAAGGCGTGCGCCCGGACACTAATACATATGCTAAGTACATACAGCTCTCATCAATAGCTGTATGTACTTAGCTGGGATATTGTAAAGACTGCAATTTTCAGGTCAACCTTTTAACCAGTGCAAAGTAAATTTAATATAATTAAAAATTGAAAAGTCATGCATAATGTATATCTGTCCGCTCCTAACCCGGAGATATTGTTATTTATCACTACCAATATTAGAAGATCGGTTCTTCTAATATTGGTTACCTTTGTTCTACTAGAATAAATCTATTGCAATCTCTATCACGCCGCAGAGTAATACCGCTCCATAGCTCGCTATGCGACTTTGAGCTTTGTCTTGCGGCCAGCAGTAAAGGACCAAGTCCTAGATCGGTAGGTCACCACCGGCAACAATCATTGATTGAAGAAATGCCAACGAAAAGATATGCCAAAGTTTCCCTAACGCCCACCATCCGAGTTTGATTCGCCGATAGACCTCTACGACATCTATTTATATTAAGACTAGTTATAAAATAATCATTTTGTTACCGTCTCTTAGGAAAGACATAGGCGTCTTGGCATGAGTTCCATTGAAACCATGTATGATGAATACATTCCTCCTAGACTGCTTCCACCCGAAGTCCCTCAAATCGCTATGCCGGAGATCAATCCACCGTGGATGAGGCCATTCCCTGCTTACGAAAAACTGATTTACGTTCTTTCTTATCTAGATTCATGCCTTATTTATAAGCAACACACATTATTATAAGAGTGCAGTTAGTTATCAGCTAATCACCATTTCTTTATTATCATAAGGCCTTCCAATACTGATTTTAGCTTTAGATACATCTGCGAGATTGCAAATGCAATACCAATCTAAAACATAGTGCGCCCAAGTTATCTTACAAAAGGAATCGCTAAATTATAATGTGATGTATATGCTATTATCAGTGAACGCTAATAAAACATGGAAGCCATACAAGTGATTGTTAATAAATAACACCACAACTCTCACTGACAGTTATCACGCGATGTCAAACAAAAATGAACCTATTTGTTAAGTCTACTAAGTCTATATCCCTAAAACCACCTCGCGGTACGGTTTATAAGACTCGCGCCGTCACGGTATAGTTTTTCGTTATGTCATTTTGGAGAGACATTAATGCTTCCATGTTTATCTGCGTTCACTGGCTATTATACTTTCTTGCGATTCTCTTTTCTTGTATCCTAATCAAATCATAAATCAATCATTTCCCTATCAAAACATCTAGTGTATATTAAACTTACTTTATTTATCATTAATATTATGTAATACAGTATAAGTTATATTATTAAAAACATTTTAAATTTCATAAAACAATGTTAAAAAGACTAAACATGCAAAAACTAAAATAAAAAAAAATAGACTGAAATTAAAAATTTTCGTCTCTACTATTTATTATTTGAGGTATTTATTTTTATTAAGGATTGATACAAATGCCATTCTTGTCGCAAGAAGGGCCTGTCACATTATTCTACTAAGATTCTAGTCGGATATATTATATGCAAAGGAGTACAGCAAATCGCTTTTGCTAGAATAACTTTTGGATCTAAGTTATTAACCAAATGAAAAAACATAAGAAGTTATACTTCTTTAGCGTAACAAAAGAAAAAAAATTATCCCCTGTGCTATTACCTACTCTTTGATTATGAAAATTAAAAGAACGCTTTCATTAGATAACTTGGATTAAAAAAAACTTGGATTATAGTAAAATGTTAAAAAACTGTTATTGGTTACTATGGTTATAATGTGAAGTTGGTCGCTTTGCAACCAATTTCATCGTGTCGATGTCGGAGTGCACGCGCATTGTAAAAATTTTACTAACATAATTTTTCCAAACGCGTCAAAAGAAGTATAACTTCTAAAAAACTTCTGAGCACTAAAGCGCTTTCATTTTATAAACTTACGGTGTGTACAAAAAAAAGTTGATCTCGCTATCCGGACACTTCCATTCGCGTTTCATAACGCAACGCCAGTATCTGAAGTCTACCATCGACATCAAGCTGCCTTCGACATCCGACGCTGCGAACAAAATAAACTTTGAGTTGTCAATTCTTCCAATTTCGCTCATTGATAAGAAATAACCGTAATAATAGATTATAAAAATACCGTCCAACACACGACCGACGGCGCTGGCGTCTACGTATAGTTTCAGCTTTAGGTTAGCACTCGATCGCTTCCGACCTGTTTCCCACCTTTCCCGCCCCGTGGTGGAGGGGCTTAGTAGCCGTGGCTTGGTCACCCATGGCGAAGCTAAGAGGAACCTACACTGGGCAGGCCCGAGAGAGCCGCTCCAAGTGGGCTCATTGAGCCCACTCTGGATGCGTGCTAGAGGGTGCAGGGGACAGGTCGAGGGTGGCAGAAGTGGAACCACTCTCCATGTCTTCTTCTACCGAAGAGGAGTCGCGGGGGAGAGGAGTGTCGGTATTGCGGTGCGCCATTCACCCTACCCTCCGCGGGCGAAACGTGGTGAGCGGCGGTGCCACAGATCGCCAACACCGCTGGGGGCTGGGAGGCTTGCTGCTTATTGGCTCCTAGCTCCCATGGCCCGCGGGGGAAATTCGTTGGCCGGGAAAAAGGACCCGAATAGGAAGGCGCGCTGAATGTTCCAGCGCGCCTTACCTAGAGGAGAGGGAAGTTGATCCCCGGCAGGGGGGCTGTTGAGGCGGCCAGCGCTGGCAGGGTCGCGGAAGTGTGCGAAAGCGTTCCCGTGGCCCTGCCGATATGCGCATAGTTGCAACACTGGGGGTTTTAGTCGGTGCGAGTTCGACATTACCCGCTCTTGCCCCCGCGAGGGCGGTTATGCGTAGGCATTTCCCCCACGTCAACAAAAAAAAAGGTTATCAATCGATTATTTATTACAAATAATGTTGTTACTATAACGAACAAGTTTAACCAAAAGAACTTGCATGTGAACGAACAATCAGCTGGCGGGATTTTTTGAGCCTCAAAGGAACTTTACAAAAACAAAACATGATTTAACATAAAAAACCCTTCCTATTTTATATAACCCACTTAAGTAATGAAAATCATCTTCGTTTAGTCTGAAACCCATACGAACTGCACCACCCGTTCCACTTTTACTTTATCTTGCCTCTACACCATTATAGCAAATGAAAAAGATCTCAAAATTTCAAGATATTTCAAGGATTTACCATATAATTTATCGGACGCCAACTGCGCGAGCTTGTTATTGTGTCATATTTTCATGGTCAAATTGAACTTTATCTCGGAGGATAAAGCAAATGACCAGGGAACCAATACTTCTTGTTTCTCCACTTTTTGGTGGAGGATTGCCGGTCAGAAACGGGAACCCACTAAAAACCCACGATGCATCTGTCTCTGTCGCATCTGCCAGCGAAACGGGAACGCATAGATATCCCACGATAAAACTCAATTCTCGGCGCTGCTCCGTCCAGGCTGGACACTCCTCCAGCGCGTTTTGAGCCGTCTCCTCGGCAGATACGTCATAGATCAAGTGTCCGTACCGGCGAAACCTGTACCCGCAACAAAACGCCAGATTCAAACCCCCGCCGTTGCAACTGACTGATATACCGCATGTGTAAGGAACCGACAACAATGTGTCAAATTTGCAGAAGACTTTTCTTTAGTCTAGGGTTAATGAGACACAGTAGACTTCGTAGTCTTCGAGCTTAATCATCTGGCTAATAAAATCTGCTGAAACGACAAGGTTGAGATATTTTCAAAAACTGGGATCGACTATACAGGTAGAATTAAACCTTACCATATTAGGATCCAGACGGACAATACATTTCATTTCTATTGAAAACGACCTTAAATGTGGGATGTGTATTAAGGTCGCCAAAGCAGAAAGTCCGGAATATAAAACAGGGCACCATAAAAGCCTACTGCTGTTAGAAGAATCCATTAGATTGAATCTAATGGTGCTTCACTTGCCTTCGATGATTCCTAAAAAGCTCTCGGTACCACGTCGATGCAATGCACGATGGTGAATCGTGTTATAAAATAGGATTCATTAAACTAAGTGACCCTGGAAAAAGTCAATGGCATCAATCCCATTTATCTCCAGATCACAATCGAATCGCAAAAAACGCCTAATTTTCAAAGCTAATTTTCAACCGAACCCTAAAGGCCTTTAGTTCCGGGGCTCCATGCAAACGAATAACCACGCCGAAGACCGACACGATGTGTTACGATTTGCTTAAAATTAATATATAAGATCATGAATCATATTTACTACTGTTAGGAAGCCGTTGAAAAAAACCGCCGCGACCTCTATGTGCGTATAGCGTTTAATAACGGGAAAAGTATTAACGTTTTTTTATTGCACTAAGTGCAAGTAAGTGAAAGCAAAACTAGCTCTAAACTCCAGCGAATCAATCTTATTTTTTGCTCCATTTATGACAACACTAGACTAACTTGCGAGTGTATTCTGTATTTTACGTACTTAAATTTACTTTTGCCCAATGAAAGAGTAACTTCTTTACTACTATGTATAATTTAATTTCAAGTTCGTTTCCTATTTATATGGAGAACCCGTACGATGTCATCATAACCACTTTCTACGCTCTAGCTCTACTAGACATGGTCAATGACCACTTACATGATACAAACTTTTGTTTTTGTATATCTTCTAGACAATAAATATATTTTTTAATTCAAATCAATATTGTTAAATTTTATTCTAAAAAGTCATAACGTGTTTATAGTTACAGAAAAAAATGTTAAATATGAAAGAAAAGTTCATATATTAATGTTATTACTTGTAGTGAAAGTTTCGCGGCTTTCATTTAAAAAAAGGCTGTTGTTTTCTTGTGCATATTACTTGACAATGGAGCGAACCTTTTCTGACAACTGTTTTGCTACCATTTTTTTCCTTTTGTTAGTGAAAGTCTTTGATTAATGATTGCAGCCATGTTCATATTTCAAAAATTTTATGTAAGCCGGAATCTACAAAAAATTATTTATATTTATTCTATATTTTTGATTTTTATAAAAATATTTGATTTACATAAGTTTTCTGTGTTTCATTGAAAAAAACAATTTCGAAAACATTTTTCATTAATAATATTTATGTGGAATAAGTATCTATAAAATTAAACACATACCATTGTTTTGGAATACAATATTCCGATGCATTTTGAATAAGTGGCAGTGAATACAACATAGGAAACAGAATTTTACAAAAGACAACTTAAAATTAAGATATAATTACAAAAAAACTTACATATTCCAGCACAAGTCACAAATATTATCAAAACAGATAATCCAGTATTAATTAAACTCATTGTAACAATTTATCTCTCTCTTACATTTATCACTAATACAAAAATTAAACTAAAAATTATCAATAAACTAAGCTTTTAACACCATACTCAAAAAAGTATTTAATGCTGCATTTTCGATTTAACAGACATCGTTCAAATAGAGTACCAAACACGCGCCAAGCAGCCGCCGTCACAAAGTCACTGTTACTTCTGAGTTTCTCAGTTCTCACGAAACCACCATTTCAATGTTACCATAGTTTTAATCAGCAATGGGATAGTCCATTCACCTCAAATATCTTTGATGGACGCCGAATGATAATTTACATACAAAATTTTATATTATTTAACTTTGTATTTAATTCTATAACTTGCAAAATTACGTTTTGCCCACTTCAGCTTCATACAGGTATTAGTATTAATATTTTACTTGATTAAACGTCAACAATTTATCCGTACAAGGACCGAAGGCTTCCCTGTCTATTACATTGGTGCTTTATAATAAAAATATTGCATGAAAAGGTGTAGTATTTCAATTATTGGGGCCCTTGTTATGGATGGACCCCGGTTGTTCCGAAATAGATCATTTTAACGGTAAGTTCCTTTCTGAGTAACAACTTAAAAAACGATCACGTTTGCAGTCTAAAAACTGCTGAGACGCTTATAAACAAGTGATTCGTTAAACAAGGTTAAGGGGTCAATGTGTACATCAAAAGCCATGCGCGCATAGTCAAAGACCATGCACGGATCTAACGCAGCGTCGATCTTAGTGTTTTTTGCAATGTTTGATAGCTAATAACTAATATTTTTATTTTTAAAACATTGCCCTTACTTAAGGATAACATTATCCTGCGTTGTAAGGACGTTTTAAAAACATAAATTAATTATAATCTAGCATATAATGGATGATTATTTATTAAATTACTCAAAATAAATTATTTTACTTCGATTTGTAGAATTTTAAAACACCAAAGGCTTATTTATCCAAAGAAAATATCCAGTGGTGAAAATATATAGTGCAATAGTTCTCTGTATGCCAAAATCAAATTTTAAACTCCATCATGTGCAATCAGATAATTCAAAATTATTAACAATCAACCAGCGGATCATTGACGTTTGGATTGTCGATGAGAGGAAAACGTTAATAGTCTCGATGAGAAGTAAACAATTAAAACAATTTAAATCAGTTGATAAAGAAGTCGTCATCATAGAACTTAATATAGATAGTTGGCAGACCATATCTACTACTTTTTGCATTACTATACTATACGTTTTTCTATAAATCCGCACTTAAATTGAACAATTTCATTGGTGCCGGCCGCGGGATTTGAACTAGAGTTGCTTTAGCATATCAAATAAAAAGCGAGCACACGAACACTGAGCTATTACAGTTCTCTTCTAAAAGTAATAATTTATTACAGATACAAATTTTAGATACTTTTGTATCTAACAGTACCTAAGTAACTTTCTTAATAATAATAATAAATATTTGTAGACGAAAAAATGGCGTAGTTAGTTTGTACTTATTTCTAGTATTTAGTTTATGTCTGTCACTATTCTTTAGATGATTATTAATATTATGTTTAACATACAAAATATTATAATAAATATATTGAGACTCAACAGTGAGTATATTAATCTCTTTAAAAAGGTCTCTGAGTGTATTCCGGGCTCCGATGTTATAGATTGCTCGGACAGCTCTTTTTTGAAGAATAAATATAGAATTTATATCAGATGTACTACCCCACAACAAAATGCCGTAAGACAAGATGCTGTGGAAATAACTGAAATAAACAAGTCTGGCAGTGTCGATGTCTGATAACTG